AGAATGATTTTTTAAAATTCAGAGCTATCACATTAATTAGGTTGACTACTTTTAGATATTTGAATTCTACTTTATATTTCTTCTGTGTCCTAAAGGACCAATTTCTCTCTCAGAGGTTAATGGAAGGGGGTCTTTGTGTCCCAAGTTATTTAAAATGAAGTCTTCTTGGGTTTTATTTTTAGCTTTAAAGTGTTGAAGTGTTAGGAAATGTTGAAGTAGAGATATGGTTTCTGGAATTGCTAATTAGATATATTACTTATTAGCTCTCTAATTTTATCTTCAGGTATTATCTTGAAATGCTGCGTATTAGATTTTCTTGTAGGAAATCTTCAGAGCCCATGTACATTTCCACCGGTTTTGCTCGGAGCTCCGTGCTTAACAAGTACTTATACACATTGAGGAGATGACAAACTGGGGGGTAGAGCCTGATGGAAAGAAATGAACTGGTTTTAAACCTAATTTCCTAAATGTGGGACGTGTGAGGTGGAGGGTTAGGAAAGGCAGGCCTTGGGGTGCAGGTTGCGTTCTGGAACTCCCAGCTCACGTCTCCCTCGTATGTCCACCTTCACCGTGACCACAGCTTCCTGGTGTTCCCAAGGTCAAGTGCTGTCCCCGAAAAGTGAATTGAATGGAACAGTTGTAGTTAGACCCTGAGGAAGATCATGCCATGCCCTTTGCTGGGCCTGGGTTTCCTTTACCTAGAACACCCCTATAAAAGAAGGGGGTGGCGTTTAGTCGTTTAAAAACATTGGTTTTTGCTTATGGGAGCCTTTCTTTAAATGAAACCTTACCAGAAGCCCCATAGGTAAATGGGATTTTCAAAATTTACTTTTTGGGGTGGGGGACTTGGCCCACAGGATGGGAGTGGGGCTCAGTTTCTCCCTGGTTTCCCTGCGCAGCCCCCAATTACGTTCGAGACACTGCTCCTGCTCTTAGGAGCAGCTTCAGAACCACTGGGCTAGGACGTGTGGCCAGAGTTGAGCAGTTTTATAAAATCTAGTACTGACTCAGTATTCTCTCCCCCAGAGCCTTTTTAAACCAGTTAGTGTATATTATTCCTGTATTTAAAAATGGAGAGACGTTAGCTAAATACCAAAATGCCTTGAGCAGCAAGTTGATGCTGCTGTTTTCTTTTACAGCAAGAATAATCACCACCTTAATGACCACCAGTGATCTAACAGGTAAGCACAGTACGTTCCTTCCCACTTTCTGGAATTCTGTCCCCCGTGTGCCTCCTTCATGCGTAAACGGTCTCACGGTCCCACACATCAGCTTGCTCCGCTGTACAGGGAGGCCCGCGAGCTCGATCCCGGGGCGTCCGCCCCCACGCGCAGAACTAAGCACCTGCTTCTTGCAGCGCCCGGGATAGAGGGTGCCGCCGCCGCAGCGGGTGCAGGGGGCAGGGACGCCCCCACACAGCTAGCTACAGAAGGCTGCCGGGAAATGTGTTTTGGAAGAGCAGGACAGGACAAGCACCTGGGGGGCGGGGGGGGGGGGAATCTGACCTAGCCAGAGGGACCTGGGGCAGCGGGTTTGAAGAGTGAGATGGGGGGGTGGTGAGAGATGGGGAGAGGGAGCAGCCCCCGTGAAGGTCCCGAGTGGGGTACACCTGGCTCAGCCACAGAGCGAACGGGAGCTCTGGGAGGAGTGTGAGGATGGGGTCCGCTGAGCGGACAGTCATCTGACCCCCCACGTCCTTGTTGATTTTTTTTTTAAGGGGGAGGAGGAAAATACTTGGATTGATGCAAAAACGGATTTAGTTATTCCTTAGGCTGTTGTCTACTCCCAGGTTGGGTATCACTTGGAAAATGATCAAAACAAATGGTGTCACTATTCTGTGAAGACTAGCTGTAGGTCCCTGGCACGTAGACCCCTTAAATAAGCCGTTATTTGAGGAATATTGCCTACAGAGCAGTGAGGTGCATAGGCTCGTCCCTTTGCAAGGCCGCCGCGTCTTGGGCTTAGGTACCTTCCGTCAGCTCTGAGAGAAGTATCGGAAGTATTCTGGCCACAGCACAAACTTGGGTCAGGTGGGGAAAGGGGAAGACAGGTCTGTCTCCTCCACGGGACCTGAAGGACTCTCCCTATGGGAGGAAGAGTCCAGCTGCAATTAACCAACAAAACAAACCTACATGTTAGAAGTTTGAAAGACTTAGAATGTTCTAGTTATACTTCGCTTTGTACTTCAAGTGACAGCTGTTCCTGAAAGCGATCTGGGGATAATCTTTCGAGGACGGTTTAGCTGGAATCTTACAAGTGTGTTACGACCACAAGGATACATTAAAGCTCATAAATCTTACTCCTCAGGAGAGTGTTCGTCGAGTCACTTACGGTGAAGTGTTTTCCGCCCAGAAACACTTAGAACCAGAGTTGTTCAACAGAGTTCCGAGTATCGTTGGGCAGGCTGGGGTGTGGCTAACCGGGTTTCCGCTGAGAGCAAGGAAGGAAGCAATTCTGTCTTAGGACATGAAAACAGTACGTGGGCAGCCTTGGTGGCTCAGCGGTTTAGCGCTGCCTTCAGTCTAGGGCGTGATCCTGGAGACCCAGGATCGAGTCCCATGTCGGGCTTCCTGCCTGCTTCTCCCTCTGCCTGTGTCTCTGCCTCTGTGTCTCTCATGAATAAATAAATAAAATATTTAAAAAAAAAAAAAAGAAAGAAAACAGTACGTGTTCTTACAGACGTTTCCTTTTTGATCGATTTCAGTTCTTCTGCGATTTGTGATCATGCTTGCTTTGAATCTGTGGGTGACCGCCACGGTGCTTCGCTACAGGACGGTGGGAAAGGCTGAGTGATGGATCGCGGCTCCTACGCACAAAGTGGACTCCTAATGACTGAACCAAAGGGGAAAATAAGCTCACTGCTAAGCCAAGGTCTTCTATAAATTTAGTCAATTGTTTCAGAGACTTTGAAGCCAAAGGTATTTTAGACACAAGCCACGTGGACACCTGTTTAGAAATGCTCCCCCCCCTCCCTCTGCCTCAGGAGGTGGCGGCTGGGCTCAGAGCCCTGCTGGCTGGGCCCTCGGGATTAACTGTCTCTGGTTTGGGGCTTTTACAATCCTTTCCACGGCACAAGCGATTATGAATGGAGTGAGATTTTTCTCAAAGTCGGAAGTGGAATTGTAGTGAATTACTAATGTTCGCTCCCTGGGACTGTTTAATTGTAATAGAGCTTTAACAGGCTGGCCTCCCCGTATCGTAACACAAGATAGTACCTCCTTGGGCTCTAGTAAGGTATGAGGCAGGCAAACGCTGGCCAGAGTTCATATACCAAAGTTAGTCTTTTTAACGTCATACAGTGCCTTTAAGAGCTGCAGTCTCCACTTATGAGGCAGTCCCGATGAACTTTCTGATTCAAGCATGGTGCTGCCATTTTTAAACGGGTCACACCTTTAAAAAAAACAAAAACACACCTTGTCCATTGACAACATAAGCGGGAAAGGGTATTGCTGGGTTCTGCCAAGTTCTTAAGGATTGCACGCTCATCGTATCATATTCTAAACATGATGTTAAGATTATTGGACGCAACTTTTTACTACAAAATTTTATAAAGCCTAAAATTTAAACTCTTTTCCTTTATGATTGAATGGCATTATTCTGTCATATGGAATATATAAACGATGTTTATTAGAAAATGTTTTAGTTTCCTATGTAAAATAAACTCTCATATTCTGAACTCTGCTGAGTCTTAAAACTGTCAGTTTTGGGATCCCTGGGTGGCTCAGCGGTTTAGTGCCTGCCTTCAGCCCAGGGCGTGATCCTGGGGTCCTGGGATCAAGTACCACCACACCAGGCTCCCTGCATAGAGCCTGCTTCTTCCTCTATGTCTCTGCCTCTCTCTCCCCTCTGTGTCTTTCATGAATAAAATCTTAAAAAAAAAAACTGTTTTAATGGGATTAGTTTTTTAAGTTACGTAAAATGCTTTTTTAAGAATATAAACTGTGGTCAACATTTTAGAACTATTGCTTGGGACCAGCAGGAAGAGAAACATGGTATATACCAATAATCATTCATTCTGTAGTTTCTACAGTCATAGTTGTCTTTTTATTTTTTCAAGGATTTATTTATTTTGAGAGAGAGTTTGCAAGCAGGTGAAGGGGTACAGGGACAGGGGAAGGGAGAGAAATCTCCAGCAGTTTCCCCGCTGAGTGTGAAATCCGACTTGGGGCTTGACCTCATGATCCTGAGATCATGACCTAAGCCAAAATCAAGAGTCAGAGGCTCAAATGACTCTTGGCTCAACCAACTGAGCCACCCTCCAACTCCTGATCCCAAGATGGAGTCAAATGTTCTACTAACTGAGCCAACCAGGCCCCCTGATAGTTGTCATTTAAAGAAAATCCAAGTGAATCTTTTTTCATATGCAATCGTAATCTAACCATTAGTATAAATAAAAATAATGTGATTTTTGAGTCCAACAAATATTTAAGTATATTTTAATTAGAACTTTATCATTGCTTAAAGAACATATTATCTTAGATGAAGAGTTGCCCATTTTTCCTTTTTGGGACGAAAGGAAACATTTGAACTATTCCAAATATCCTACACACATTATCATATTTAATCCTACAACAATCTTGTAACGGAAGTCTCAGTTTTACAAAAGATGACAACACTGAAGCTCAGAGTGAAAAACCTGTCTCAGATATGATAGCCAAAAAAATATCCTAAATAAGAACTCACTGATTACCAGAGAAATGCTTTCTTGAAAACCACCTCTCAGCACTCTGTGCCTTTTCCTTATCCCGGACACTCAAATGAGGTTGTTGGATTTGCATGTCCCTTAAAAATACCTAAGTCAAGTCAGCAACGGACTCCTTGTTGAAATTCTATTTTGTATTTCTCCATGGACTAAATGACAGGGTAGCGCATGCAAAAGTCTGTAACCTTGGTTGATTTGTTCTGCTACACCATCATGCAGGGAAGGCAAAATTTTGAGGGCTAAATTTTAGGAGGTTGTAGTGTTCCAGGACTATTCCACAGGAAGAGTATGAAAATGCTTATGTCTTAATTTCTTTTATTTAATTTTTTTAATATAAAAAGCAGGCATAAAATACAATTACATTACTACAAAGATGCAACAAAAATTTTTTAAAAATCAGGGGGGTACGATTTTTGTTCAAAGGGGACAGTTGATCAAATATTTATGATTATCTAAACCATGCAGTTCATAACTTATTACAATTTCAAACAAAACTCATTATGGGGAAGGGAATCGAGGACAGGCCCCCAAGCATAATATCCAGCACTGTCATACAGTGCCTATTTTCAAAGTGCTTTATGAATCAACTATGGTTATCTTCACGCCAGAGGAAAACTGCAGCCTTCTTCCAGGGGAGGAGACGTGAGTCAGTAGCAGTGTCGACACAGACTGAGAAACTCAGAAGTGACTTGCTCTCATAGAATATTAAACATGTTATTAAAGCATGTTTGAAAAAGGTAATATAGTGTCTAAGTTTCTCTATTTTACCACGAGAATCCTGTAAGAATAGATTAACAACAGCAGCAAAACTTCTTAAATTCTGGTTTGGCAACCTAGAGTTTTTTTGTTTTGTTTTGTTTTTTGAGGATCTACAGCTAAACTGATAAAAAAAAAAAAAAAAAAAAAAAAAAAAGACGTCCTTCAGAGCCAGATTTGTGACTCTAGCCTAGGTTAGTTTTAAAAAACTAACCTTACTCTAGATTTCTTGGTATCCTTTAGTTAAAATTTTCAGATAGATTTTTTTTTAAATCTTGCTTCTAGATAGCATATTTTCTTTAATACTTTTCAAACATTCACTATACATTTATTTTTAACAATAATACCGGCACCAGTTTTCCTTCTACTTCTGTCTTGCTATCCCCCACTAAACAAAAGTAAAAAATCCAACTAAGAAAATCCCAGTATTCACTACTTCTCAGTTCTCAATAGGAGGTATTTATGGCTCTAGGAGAAATCAGGTGTGAAGAAATAAGCAACTTTTGGTCTTTATTTATCTGGGAACCTTTGGAGCCTCAAGAAAAAGAGAAGCTGGCACAAAATCAGGTTGTTAAACCAAGTCAATATTGTATTTAATGAGTGTTGAGAAGAGAACATTTGTATGGGTGTATGCATTCATGTATGTACATGAAACCAGCAACAGGGTAAAAAGCAAATTCTTACCCAAGGTCAGAATTTTTATTAAGCGCATTTCCATTAGCTGGAGAAACAACCCTATTGAACCCTTATGTTAAACCATATAATGTGAAGAATCTCCATGGGAGAGATTTTTTTCACCTCTTAGAATACCTTTTTTTCCCCAAAAAACTTCACATTAATTTTCCTTGTATAGTTGCATCACACCATGATTCTCCATATTCTCTAATATATACAGCATTCAAAAATTAACTTTCGCCATTTTTACTCAAATATTTCAATTACTCGTGTAAACTTCAAATTATTTCACCTTAATAAAGTTTATTAAAAATATATATATATATATACTCTCCAATTCAGAATATGATAGAACCTCCCATAGTGTAACAAAATCTTTATATAAAATATTAATTCAGTCTCCTTTTAACAAGTCTAATGAATGGAAATATTTATTCTATATAAATTTTATATATTTTTCATTTTTATATCTTACTTAAAAAAAAAAAAAAAAAGGCTGTGCCCCCAAACCAGAACTGCAGAACATCCCTGTGAGGGAAATGACATGAGTTTCTGGTTTAGCAGAGACATCATGGAAGAGTGCAGGTGGGATAATGAGAATAACAAGATTCAGTTTTAGTACATCAGTAGGCCAAAGGCCACTCTTCAATTTTCACAATAGTATCTATATTTTGGGGGTCTAACTCTTTAAACATTTATACACTGACTCCAAAAGTAATCAATGAAAAATGTCTGCTTCCTTCATTGAACTATTAGATGATGTATTTCAATATCACACCAAACCCTGTGTATATGTATTATAAAGAGACTGATAAAAGACTACATAATTTTTTTAACTTGATGCTTATCATTAATCCATATGGTAGCAGTACAAAACACATTTTTCTGGGACAATGAGAAATCTAGCAGAAATGGTCCTGCATAACCTATGACTTTAACATCATTTAAAAAATAAAAATCAGGTTAAGAGCCTCTGAGGCTAGTTCTTCCCAGTCACCAGTTTTAGCCCAATCCTGAAATATTGCCATATACAGTTGTGTGTTTGAGGAATCACATTTAAATATTTAAAATATATCTACAGTATGTCTTAATTTTCTTTATATTTGAGATAATCTTAGAATCTTGAGTGTGAAAATGTAAAAATAGTCACAATGTCTCTACCAGAAATAAAAATACATCTAGGGTAGCCAGCAAATTCAAAGCAAAGCAAACATTTCAGTCACACACTAATACTGAGGTCTGTAAGAAGAGTGGGATGAATAATAGATATACATAAAAGATATATTAGTTCCAATAGTATCCATTATTGTTTCTATCACCAGTACTTTTAAAAAAAATTGTTATACAATCAAAATAGGCTGACACTGATAACTATTACATGTAAAAATAGTGCACTGTTTTTCTTTTGCAAAGCGAATTTGCATCCTAAGAGCTGGAAAACACTTCTTTTTTCAAAATACAGAAAAGGGTGAGACTTTTAAAAAAAAATTAAATTAAGGCATTCAAAATGGGTAAAGTTGCCTATCATGAAGCATTAGGAAATTGATACAATTAACATCAAAACTCCTGTTACAGTAATTGCTTAAACATGAACATGCAGCCTCCATGGGGTATACACAAAATGAGTGATATAAACTCCAACATTATGGCTTTATACAAGTGCATAGTTGCAACTGCAGTAAGTTATGATATCTGATTAATGTGTATAAAAAAATAAAATGGGACATTTGTTGAACCCTCTTGCAGTATTACAGTACTATTATATATGTGTGTGTGTGTGTGTGTGCACGCATGCACATAGAGACACACACACACACATATATATGCACACACACAGTATAATGGTCACTTCTTAAAGATGCAGTCTCTATCACTGTAGTGGAATCCATTCCCAGAATCTTCTGGTAAATGTGCTGGTGAAATCTCTCTGTTGAAGCTGAAAAGATGATTTCTTTAAGCTTTAACTCTTCTCAATCCTTTTGTGCAATGTAGTGTGAGTGACTGCCAAGAGAGTTTTATGGAACAAGTTTGGAAGAGTTGCATATGATATTCTTACTCTATTAACCAATCATTGTTGGTTCAACTTGATGCTCCAAAGGAGCCCAGAAAATATCCAAGATTTATAATTTATATTGCAGGAATAAGGGAAATGTGTGTGTGTGTGTGTGTGTGTGTGTATCAGTCCCTCCAGAAAATATAGCTTTTTAAGAAATTCTGGCCCATCATACTTCAGTCTTGTTTTAACTGGAAGAATATGATCACCTTGAATAATGACTGCATTCATAGAAGGCAGCTAGCTGGAAAAAAAAGAAAAAAAACAAAGTTAGTTGATACAGTGAAATAATTTAAGAGATTGTTAAAATTCTTTTAAAAGGCATTCCATTTATATCATTTCATGATGTAGTCTTCCAACCTCTATGCTTTTAATACCTAAATCATGCATAAAACATTTATTATATTATTTTTCTTATTTTTAGGTACATGCAATTATATTCTTATATTTTCCTATATTTTCTACAAACATGACACACAAGTTTTAATATGGTTAACTGGCTATTAGGGTTAGATAATACATCACCAAGTAACTCAAGTGAATATAAGTTTGACTTGGAGATTAACCACTAGCTGCCTTCTGTAGCTGAAAGAACAGTGGGCTTATGGACCAGGTTCTACTTGACTATTTGACCCTTAGCCACATTTTTTAAATCTACGAAATGGGAACAAACACATTGTTTTAGTAAATATATGTAAAAATACTCTGTAAATCTTGGTTATAAACACCTCCCAATAACACGATTTAAGTCTATTTTTGCAATATGCTTACTTAGGTTAAGACAGACATTACTTCTTTTAAATCCATTCTGTGTAAAAAGGTTTAACCATGAGGTTCAGTTTTTACTCAAATCTCCTTTACCCACTGTTAACCAAACTATTTACATGTTCTACAAACACAAGAACTTTCACAGCACATCAATAGCATTCTTTAGCAAGAGAAAACATCTCACAGCATCACAAAGAAAAGCCAAATCAGAAACAGTATTTCACAGCACTTATTAGACTTACAAAGTGTTTATGCCTTCAATTCTTGCACGTTAGAGAGAAGAAAGGAGGAGGGAAGGAGAGTGGGAGGGAGGGAGGGAGGGAGGAAGGAATCCCATGCTATGTTCACAAACTAATACAGTTGTAGGAACTTGAAAACATTGTGAATTTTACTTCTCTGAATATGGCTTCTTTGGAATGAACAATAAGTACCAGAATTGCTTCTTTTGTTATTTCTACATGTTTCATTCCTAAGATAAAACATTGTAATTCCAACTGTATTGAAAATATATAGCCAATAAAGATTCTGAACATAGCACTTCACTTTTTTAACTTAACATGGAAATTTCAGTTAGAAACTTTTTTGAAAACTATTTTCCAAATACATACTATTAAAAACAACTTAACAAAATTTAAAAACTAGTCAAAAACAATGAAAACCCAAGTGCAAATCACATGCACTACTTGGAATAACTCATTTTTCATTTTTTGATTTACCCCATTTATTTCTTCAGAAATCAAAAACATCGTCATCATCATCACCACCATCAACATCATCAAATGACCAATCCCAGTCTTTAAATGCCAAATCAAGCAATCTGCAATAGGAGGTTTGCAAATTCACATTCTAGCACTCTATAGAAATGGCAGCTTAATATGATAATTGTCTAGAAATCACACTTTGTGCTGTGAGATTTTAACTCTCCATCAATAATAACACAGTCAAAATTAAGATGGTAGCACACAGGGAGATCTTCTTTCTTTTCATATATAAGTGCATATAATGGTAGCCAGGTCTGATTTCTAGAACACTAGAGACCTGAAGACAGGTAATATTTGGGGATAAGATGTGATCTTCTCCCCACTGGGCCCAGATGAAGATGTAACCATCCTGATGATTTGAGAACTATGAAAATTCAGCATTTGTCAGCACTCCCTTCACAAAAGGACCCAGACTGTCAGTTCACAGTTTAGAGAGAAACACTAAGAATGTCGAATTCTCAATTCTAGCAAGAAACTATTTGCTTAGTGGGTCACCAACAGTGACGCTCTGTGTGAAAAACCACAATTAAGAGAAAAACCACAGGTATATAAGCATCATTAGCAATTTATCTTGGCTGAATAAACTGGACTTAGAGCAGGGGTATATGTGGTCTTTTCTTTCTAATCCAATCCAATCATCTAACATTGCTATCATCTTTATTTTAAAAAACAGGTGTAACTTTTTCATTATTTTAACTGTGAGGTTCATGAATCAACTTATGCCAAGGAACGCCTCTGTTCCCCAAAATCTCATTTGTGACTTCAACTTTAAAGTTGGTCCTTAAATCTGAATGTATATGGTTGGTTTACACTCAATGCTATTTATAATGCATATTTGCAGGCATCATCCCAAGAGATTCTGATATAACTGGACTGAAGGGAAAGCGGGGTGCAAGTATCCGCATTTTTAAATTAAAAATCTGGAGTGAATTCTGATGCATCTGTTTGACTCTGATAATCTAATCACTGACAGAGTATGTTGATGGATAGCTCCCTAACTTAAAAGTAAATAAACCAACTCAAATTACTCTATTTCAAAATGTGTTGAATGTACAGATATAATTATTCACTTACACACCTATCACATTTTTCCAGGCTTACATATAGGCAGTAACTTGTAGCTAAGGTACTGCTTGGGAGATTGAGATCAGTGAGCCATCCTGGGTGTTTAAAGCCCAACTTTGAAAAATCTGCATTTCATACCCTTCTAAAACCTTTGAAGTGTGTGTAAAGTGTGCATCTGTGTCACAGTCTTCAAATTTTAAAAGTTTGGTCACTAGGCTATTAGTACAATGCCTGGCAAGACTTCCCTTAAAGCCCCCCTTCAGCCCTTTCCAGTCAGCCATCTAACTTTTGTCATTTCAACCTAAGAAAGTTTTCTCTAACTTGGTTTCTTCCTGCCATTTTCACTGTCGTACCGGTACCTTAGAGAAGGAGCTCACTAAGTCAACACACACCAAACCCTTGCTGAAAGACTTCTATCTGGAGAACAAAGTAAAAAGTACTGCGTAGTGCACTGGGTCCTTTTCCGTCTGGCTCATTGCTTTCTCTGCCATGTCCTCTTCTGCCAATTCCTGTCACTACCCTCTCTCCCTACTCCAGCCAGTACAATGTTTCAGAACATAACATAGAAGTAATTCTGACAACTCAGTACCAATGCACATAACATTTTGCCTACCGTTGTCTGTTCCCTTATTTCTTTGCCTAGAAAATGACGGAACCTCCCTTTTTGGAGTTTCTTGATGGCCTCAGGCAGAATTCTCCATGCTTTCCTTTGTTCCCCTCGTGCTTCTATTATAAATAACATTTAAAAAAGTACTGTAACTATCTGTTTGATTTTCTATCTGCCCCATTTAGTTGATCAGTGGGTATACACTGCAGGCCTGGGCAACTTCCTGCCGAAGATGCTGTGGGAAGGAGCATTAGAACTTTGAGTTCTGCAAGGACAGGACAGTGCCCAGTTCTTTACGTATTGCCAATACCAAGTTTCTTAATCCTTACCAGTTTGGCAGCTGAAAATGGCTTTACATTTTATTTTTAATGTAATTTAAACTTCTTTGCTTAATAATCAAGTTGATCATTTTTTCATACTTAATAATAATGCCTGCGTGTTCCTCACTGATTTTTAAACTGGGCAGAGGAATCTTTTTCTTCTTAATGATTTATACAAGTACTCTATATACGAAGATACCCATCTTTCTCATACACATTGCAAATACATGCTGTTTTTAAAATTTACAAGTCTTTAATTTTTGGTTACTCAATCACTTTCTTTCTTTGCTTTTACTCTTAGGAAGTTCTCCAATCCAAGATCAGATACATATTCACCTATTTTCTACTTCATTTCATAGATTTATTTTTAACACTTCAAGTTGTGCATATCTTTTTCATTTTTACCCAAATAATTAGTCTGTTAATTTTCTAATATCTATAAATGGAAAAGAACAAAATTAAAATAATGCTAATGTGGCAAAGCCTGGGTGGCTCAGTTTGTTGAGCATCCGACTCTTGGTTTCAGCTCAGGTCATGAGATCAAGCCCCACATCGGGCTCTGCACTGGGTGTAAGGCCTGCTTAAAATCCTCTCTCTCCCTCCCTCTGCCCCTCCCCTACAATAAATAAATAATGATAGCATAAGAGCTCCCCCAACCCCCAAGTTTTAACTGTGTTGGCAATGCTTTATATCTTAAAACTGGGTAAATGAGTGTTTGTTACATTTTGCTTTATACTTTCCTGTGTAGCTTAAATATTACATTTTAAAGGAGACCTTTAAAAGAAAAATAATTAAAGAGAAATGTCCTTAGCAGAGACCAGCATTCTGTATCCTACTTCGGAACAAACTAAGAATCTCTCCAAATTACCTTTATCACAAATCAACATTTTATTCACAAATTCTCTACATTTCTAGCATTGTTTTTTTAATTCAAAATTACTAAGAAAACATTCCTCTGGAACAGCATTTCTACACATTATGTTTTATAAACTGTCAATTCATTTCTATTTGTATCACCGTGAGGCAGTGCAGTATTATATAGCTGAGGATGCAGGATCTGGAACTCAATCTGAACTCATGGCTTTGCTGCTTATTTGGTGTGCGACCTCAGATACACAGCGCTTCTGTGCCTTAGTCTCCATGTCTGTTATATGGAGACATTAAGAGCTAAATCACAGGGTGGCTCTGAGGATAAATAATTTAGTACACTTAAAGCTCAGAGCTGAGTGTCTGGCATATAACCTGCCCTCAAAAATGTTGTCTTCTATAATACTAGCTAACACTTGCCTAATAGCTATCACTTTAAAACACTCTCCTACAGAAAAGGGGAAGCACTGCAAAGAGTTAAGATGAGAATCAGAACCAGGAATGTCACAAAAGCCAAAAGAAAAAAAAATGTAATGCTGTGGTCATTAACAAAGACAAACACTGAGGAAAAGTTAAAAAAAAAAAAAATCAGATGATTACTTATAGGTATTATGTTTTAGTGTATATTATAAATATACATATATTTGAGATTTTGATGATATCTAACAAAGTCAGACATTTGTCTTAAGAAAGACACCATGTAAGTTAGTTCAACTAAAGCCAGATTAATACAAACAAAGAGCTAGATAATAAATTACTGCTGATATCGACCAGAAATGCAGTTCCTAGGTGTTCCTGGATGATCCTTTCACAGCTCTACCCATTTGTCTATAGGAATGTTAATGGCCATCAAGTCCAATGCTTGACTATACTCCAGAGCCATGCAGTTCTCTGTTAGACTACATACACATGACAAATTGGGGAGGGTACTTTTCCCTAGAGTCACCAAGCAGTCACCTGAATCAGGTACTAACACTGGCAGTAACAAGGCACTCACTATTCTAGAGCAAGCCAAGTCTTCCAATTTTGGAAATCTGTGACTGCCTGATACTTTTCCTTTGCTGAGTTATAAATGTGCCTCTCTGCTTGTTCTTATTCTAGTACATCACCTACAGAAAAGTCCTCTAAATCTTTACTGCTGTTTACAATCTCCCATCCTACAAGCTCCTGTTCTTCCAAACAATATCCTTAGTTCCCTCACTTGCTACACTTTCAAATGACCCACTACTCCGTTATTCTTTTCTGTATATTCTCCAATTTGTATATGCTACTCTTAAAATGTGACACTCGAAATGCAAACCATACAGTGATTCATGTAAGACAGACAGACAAAACTTAAGGAATTAATGAAGCAATGAAGTCACAGACGTTAAAGACAATGGAAATAATGCTGCAGACAAATAATGAAATGCAAAATTGCATCTTAAATGTGCCCATCTTTATGCTTAAAGTTTCAGAGTATGTTAGACAAAAGATGTTCACATAATACCCTAAACATTTTATAGTCAGTTTTGGTATGAGTTTTAATCTACATGCATAGTTGTTAAGACAAAAAAAATCCCTATTACTTACTGTTGCTATGCAAAATGTATTAAAAAATCAATGAAGAATGATTCGAAGGGCAGGGCCAGAACTAAAACAAGACAAAAAGCAACAAAAATAAAAAGTAAATGTGCCTCCAATAGACCAAAATGCTAAACTGGGGAAGAAGGGGATAACAAAGTATAAGTCAGTGAGCATGAAAACTGTTAGGTAAGTGAAAACATGCCTCACTTAGTGTGAAATCCGCTTCATGAACGAATTCTATGTGTTATCACAAGCAGTGAAATTATTAACTTATCCAACAGTACCAAAGAGTAAAATGTATTAAAGGACTGGAGTTCTTACAATCCTGAATCTGAAATTATTTGCCCTTGTAGAGTCTCAATCAAAAAGAAAGATAGTAATATCTTCTATTCTACTCTACAGGAATATTTTCAAGATCAAATGACAGAATATGCAGAAAGTTGAATGAGAGAACAGATTATGGAAGCACTCTGGAAGCTATAAAGCACTAGACAGTGCGAGCTATTACAATAGCAGGGCATCTGTGCATTAATAGTTCCACAATACTAATAACAGAAATTTAAACTTTTAGGTGTTTTGCGCATGGCACACAGAATAACCTTCAGTGTCTTTGAATTCTTTGAGTTTCTTCAGCTTAATTACTCTCATAAAATCACTAATTTTATAGTATTTAGTTTTCTCATACCTCACAGAAAAATTCAACATTTTCACTGCTGACACACCAATTCTACCTTTGTCATTCTAAATTACTTCCTTGAGATAATAGTTTCAAGAAAAGTTTCATATAAGATGTTTGTGGTTAGAATGAAAAGATTTCTGATAATACAGCCAATGCACATCATTATTCATATACTGAAGGTCCTGTGTTAGGGAACAAAAAGGATACCTGAAATTAGACACCTGATCTTACACACTTTATCCTTTAACTAAACTCAATCTTCAGGGTCATTTCAATGAATAGTAAGTAGTATTTACAAATGCTATAGTAGCTAGTAAGCCAAGAAATGGTTATTCTGAATCAAGAATTAATTACTATAATGCAGCCATATGAAAACGTGCATTCATCATTATCTCAGGATTTATTACTGCCTAGCCCCAACCACCTCAAATACAAGGAATGCCCACTTTACCCATTAGTTAATATCTGCATTTTTAAGATTGATCTTTACTGCTCTTTAAATCAGAAACAAGTTATTCTAAATTTATAGATGTGAATTAAGATTTTAGAAGGTTTTGGTCCTACTTCCCAAGTCATCTAACATAAAAGAGGTTTAAGAGGTTTGCAGTATTAAAACCAATGTGTGCATCTGACATTTTTAAGTCTTTGTGTACATCATCTAACTAAACCATTAGTCGGTGTGCTTATAAAATCTTAAAATATTTTTATTATATACATAAACATGACAAAAATGAACCCTTTATATATTGTGGTTGAATTTAATATATGTGTATGATTTAGCAAACAGATTTATACTATATTCAACTGAATCAATGAGACACACACACAGTTTCAAACATTTGGTTTTCCATGGTTCATTAACATACCAAACAAAGGAACACTACAATTAGGAAAATTTGTAATTGAACATAAATAGCAAAATATTTTAAAAGACACTAATTTTTAATCACATTTTGATTTATTACCTTGGTTTGTTTGGGGCAAGCTGTCGACTTGGCCGTCTAATAGACTGGTTTTGTTGTATCTTCATTGAAGTTCTAGGTGATGACCGTGCAAAAGGGTCTGGAGCTGGAGGCTTTTTAGGAATCTTTTTCACCAACCGACTAACCCACTTCTGCTGCTCTTCTGTAGAATTTGCTAACAACAATAGATTCTTTGCCGTCGAAATATCACAATAAACTATAAAGAAATATTAGAAAAAATTAACATGTTTAAATTGATCTGAACATAAATAATATTGATGGAGCAAGTTAATTACTATTTACCCTTGCAAGGTGCTATAATCTCCTCCTTTTTGTCCATGTGATCTTTATGACATTTAATATGGCAGCGCCGGCATTCTAAAGCAGGAGGAGGTTTAAACATATGCCACAATGGCTTCATACAAGCCTCACAGTTGGTTGGGAAATGATACAGAGTAGGAATAAATTCATGTCCTTTATGGCAAATATAATTTGATTTTTCTCCTACTGGCTCCACTGGAAATTCTTGTTCCTTCTTACTTTCTCCTTCATTGGCGTACAGAATCTACAGATAGCAAAAAGAATAACGAGTGATTGTTAATAAATCATTTTCTATGTAGTAACAATTTTTACAGTGTAAATAAAATAGAATTAGCCAGATCATTCAATGAGAAGAAAATGCATTTGATGTTTAAATATTAGTAGGTTCTAAGAACTTTTATGAGAAAAGTCATTGGATAGTTAAGTCACTTGGCTCACATTTCAGAAAAAAACCTATCTTGTTCAAATGTGCCTCCTTATTTCCTTATTTTTTCTGTGATACCTTACTATATTTTAGTATAGTATTTTATCAGTATTTTATAGTATAGTATTTTATCAGAATAGGTCAAAAGGTAAATTTTTAATTGATGGGTATTAGAACATTTTTCTCGAAGGGTGTATTCAAAACAATCTCCCAAAAAGATGTGGTAATTATACAAATTAATGCTTTACAAGTCTCAAAAACAGACAGGTGGGTAATAACTGCAAACACAGCTTTAATGGAAAGATATATATTTGGAGAAGTGAGGAAGAGAAAAGGACGTATAATACACTCCAAATAAACATCATAAGCATTAGAAAATCAGTGGCCAACTCTCCCACAGTACTCCAAGCAAAATGGCTTTTATTTGGAAGGAACTCAATAACTAATTGTTGGTTTGACTAATTTTAAAATGGAAGTAGAACAGGGAAGAATTTGGCTTCCCTTTAAACTGGAAGTAGAAGGGCTACTGGGTACAGAATTTAACTTCACAAGCAACTGTTTTAACTTTCTAGAGAGCTGAGTGTAAAATCAGAAACAGAAGAGAAAGTTCATGCTTTAAAAATGTCCCAATAGGGGTGGCCTGGCTGGCTCAGTTGGTAAGCCTGTGACTCTTGATCTTGGGGTTGTAAGTTCAAGCTCCATGTTGGGTGGAGAGATGACATAAAAATAAAATACCTTAAAAAATAATAAAATAAAATAAATATCATAACACACCTTGAATTAAAGGACAGCAAAGGCCAGAAACATGATATAAACACCCTAGATTTCAAAAGTAAAATGGAGAGAAGAATGAAGTTGTATCCAAAAAAAGAAAGTAGTATGAAAGATATAGAAATACAAATGACCTTTAAACAGGACTAAAACTGAAAGGTAATCTAAAGAAGGCCCAAGAATAAAGAAATTTGATATGTCTTATCATACTGAGAACCTTAGTCTAAAGGTGAAAAAACCAAAATAAATTCAATCAACTAAAAACAAAATAAAGTTATTTACCTGAAATATCCTTGGAATATCTTTAGCATCTGCTCTATATACATCTGTCTGTGTAACTGGTCGGACATGAAATAATTTGCTATAAAAGATTTTTAATAAAGGAATAAAATATTACCAAAGGATCAAATTACATGAGTTATCCTATACTTCTGTTAGAAGTCAAAACTGACTACTCTGACCCATGTTAGAAGGGTCAAAGATAACTTGGTTCTATTAATCCAAATACAACTTGAGATTATGAGTATTTCCAGGAAATCAGAAATTTTCTAATTAGTTTCAGAGAACAACATACTAAAGACCCATGAAATATTAAGATGTTTTAACTAACTTTGTATCCCAGACTTTCATCTCTATGAAGCAAAGATAAGAAAATGTAACAACAGTATAGTAGGACTTATACTGTAAGTGCATATCTACCTATCTAGATACTACATGACTAATAAATAGCACTAATTTGACAAAAAAAGGTCACATCACTCTCCTATACTTTAAAAGAGAAAGTTTCCAAATATTCTAATAAAAACACTTACTCTATATCTAAAACCATGTAAGGATTAGATTGTTCTTTATCTTGTTCGCTGTCATAGAAAAGAATCTTCTTACTGCTTACAATCACATACTGTTAAAGAGAGGGAGGGAAGGAATTAATGACTAAAATTAATATATATCTTTATTTTCTTTGAAAATAAATTCTTTGAAAATATTTTCTTTGAAAATAAATTCTATAGCAATAAAAATCATATAAAATACCTAAGTTAAATAACTAAGAAGTTCTCAACATAACCTGAGAAAAGTCTTCCTTAAAATAACAATAAATTCAGTTTGCATACATTATAAATAAGCAAATTGGGAAGGGGATGAATTCAAATATTTTTTGGACTGACTGCTTCAAAATCCAATAACAAAGGTAACCTTATTGCTATGGCTTGAATGTGTTCCTCCCAAATTTTTTATGTTAAACCCTAACACCTAATGAGATGGTATTAGTGGGAGGGGCCTTTGGAAGGCAAACGAATAGGCCATTGCCAGGACAGACCTCCTGAATGGGATTAGTATCCTTATAAAAAGAGCTCAAGAGAGATCCCTAGCCCCTTTCCTCATGTGAGAACACAGCAAGAAGTCTAAACCTGATAGAGGTCCTTCCCCAGAACCATTTGGCATCCTGCTCTTGACTTCCAGTTCCCAGAGCTGTGAGAAATAAATTTCTATTCTTCATACACCACCCAGTCTATTTTGTTACAGCATCTTGAAAACAGGCAAAGACATTTACCAAAAATGAACATCATAATATCGATAACTCTAGTAACAGAGGAAAAGAAATTAGTAGGTCTGTCATACCTACAGTTGTTTTCCCAATGAAAGGGCAAAACACCAAGGCCAATAGGCTTTTGTTTTTCCTAACACTAAAACCTGTTTTATTATTAACAACACATTAATGATGATAGTTTTTTTTGATTTTTGTTCTTTTTCGCAAAGATACATTAAAACAAAAAATCACATCATTCCAAATCAGGAAGTGCAAAGCTTTATGTGTCTAAAAGTTCTAGTTATATATATCTTATAACTACAAATATAAAATGGCTATAGCTAATCCAAAAGCAAAGTAAAAGAACCATATTCAAAAGTACCAATTACCTTTTTAGTCCATCCAAATTTCTTAGTGTTGTTTCGTAAAGGCAATGAAAGCCATCCTTCTAGTCTTGATTCTATAAATAAGCAGAAGATATGAGGATAAATTTAACAATTCTTCAAAGAAAATGAGGAATTTAATAAAATTTTAATATAAAAATCACAGAACAAATCAGATATACCCTTCAGAATTTATCATTATACATTATCTAGGCTATAATAATGCAGGATCAGTATAAGCAAGTTATGGAATGCCAAACAAAATCCAGGTTATAGCACATTGAGAATACATAATCTATAGTTTATAAAGTCAAATGCCCCCTGCTGATTAAATTCATGCATCTGCAAAGTTCAGGAAAAAGGTACAAGAAAGAGAAGTAGTTCTCTATTCTCACTAGTACACCTGTATTAGAACTCTTTTTCCTTTTGGCAGAGGCCTAATTATAGATATAGTGCATATGTATCTTTGAAAACATTTTAAGTGAGTGATTTATGTGTTCAGAGAAAATGAATTTTTAAATGGCTAAAATAAAATGAAATAAAATTGTGTAAATTACAGATCAAATTTGGTTAATGAGTAGCAATGTAATAAAAATATTTCTAAATTCCAAAATAGCAAAATCAGAAAATTCTAGTTCAACAAAGAAAACTGCCTGAATCCTCAGAATTTGTTCCAATGGCATTCGATCAATATCATTCAATGAAATAATTAGGTGCAACAAGTATTTCTGGAGGTTAGTCTAATAATCACTTATGAACTGTGCTAGATGCTTTACATCAATTTTCTTTAATCCTCACAACACCACAGGAAGGTCACGCAGGTATGCAACTGACTCCAGAACCTATTCTCTCTCATCAACGACCTTCTAGACTATGAACAGAAATGCTGTCATTAAAAACAGCCTATATAAAATAACTGGCTGGACATGGTCCTACACCAACTTAAGGGACTGAATTAGATGATCTCCAACAAAATGAATAGACTCAATTTTATTGCTAAAATCTAAAACTTCAATGTGATTGGTTATTATATGTTGCTATATACCCGAGAAAGGTGACAACTATGTAAATAACTATAGCTAATTCACTTTGTATTCAATTAGTAAGAGACTAAATTACCTTACATTCAACTGGTCATATACTAATTTCCTGTAGCATTTCCATTAGATGTGATCCGTACTTACATGGACTTGTAAGTTAAACAGTAATTTTGTTTTCCATCTAGTTTCCTCATTTAAACTCTAAGTCCTTTCAGGGCAAAGACTGCGACAAACTGTCTTGAACTCTCTTTTAAAGCCTAACACAATGCTGACTAGCTAAGCACTTAGTGAAAACCTATATACATCCCACACATCCTCTCAAACAGTCTACATGCTTTTTGTACTGTCACTCTTAATATATGAAACTTCAGAAAGAATTTCTTATTGGCTAAAGATGGATTATACAGGCAGTAAAACCATATGCTCTTAAATGACAGTGTTGACAAAATAAGTCTATCAAATGTAACAGCAATGCCAGGTGCTAATACCTTTAAAAAATTTTTTGTTCATGCAGCATTTTCCTTTTAACTGAGGTCAGAACAATTTGTTAGAGTTAGTGAATATTAGTTAATGTTACAAAAAATTTGCAAAAGGACTGAAATTAAAGGTAATGGGGAAAACCCCAAAGGTGAAAGATTTTCAGGATATCACCTGTACCATTAGGTTCCGATGAAATAGGTAAGTAAGGCAAAGATTCTTCTTCTGAGTCAGAATCAGAGTCAAGAAGCATATGAGAACTGGAAGGCTTAGTGGCAATATTGAGAGAAGTAGAGGAACGCTGGTAGGTGAATGACATGGATTCCATAGTGCGTGATTGAGTAATATGAACTAAACACCCAACATAAAAGGAAGTAAGAATGCAAAAGAAGTTAAGAGAAAATAAAATAAAAATTTGAAAAAAGAGCTACCTATAGCATATAAAGAGCTAATTTAGGTAACTAAATATGTGGAATTTTCTTTAGCAATTTTTTACAAGAATTTTTGTCAAAAATCAATAAATAATGTAAGTTTAAACAATCGTTTGAATCCCCACTCCGAGGAGTATGTTTTTTCTTAAAGAAATGACAAATATTTTTCTCAGGAGCAGTCAATCTCAGGGCATAACATAATCAACTGCTTTATATTTAAGACAAAGGCTTTTAATAAAAATAACATAAGACCTGAAAATAAATCTGTACCTGGAAACCCATCATCTGCCTCAGCGTCCCCCGGTCCACTGCCTATACTGGAACTATCCAGACCAATATGCAAAGCCTGGAGCTGTGACCGCAGCTGCTCAATGTCACTATCTTTACTGTCCAGTGTCATCTGCAGTTCAATTCGAATCTGGCTCTCTTCAGCTATTTGCTACAAGAGATTAAATTACATTAAATTATTTGCATGCCATATACCTCATAATTTTTGTTTAATTCAATAACAATTATGAAGTAATAGAAATGTTCTAAAACCAATAAAATATATGCAAACATAAAAATACTTCTACTTCTTAAAAGGAAATCTTCAATCTAGAGTCCAAAAAGTATTCTTACAGCCTGCATTTCATTCAGTTCTTTCTGGTACTTGATCATCTGCTGGGTCAGTTTTTCACGTTCAGATTTAAGCTCCATATGTAGCTTCCGATTTTCTTTCTCTTTTCTCCGCACATCAGTGTCACTACCACGCTTGACAGGTTCTTTTCGATTCATGATCTCAGCCAACTTATTCACAGCCTTAAAAACATAAAAATAAGCATGTAGTCACGTAAAATAAAGCATATTGACGGTTCTTGGTAGATCATCAAGAGCAAGTTATATGACCACTAATAATGTCCTTCCCTACACACACAGAGCACACAGAGCAACAGAGAAACACTGTCTGTATTAAATTATACACTCCTTCCTTACTCCTTATCCTTCTCCAACCTTAATTAGCTTTCACTCATGTTTTCTGAGAAATGTAATTTAAAATGTTTACAGGTTGGATCTGATGTCACTTTCTATTACTTTTGAGTTTTTAGTTCCAAGAGAGACTTTTCTGAAGCAGATCCACTTTTATCCTGGAGGAAGAGAATTTTGCATTGGCATCAGATTAGTAAAAAACAGTATGTCCAACCAGAGAACTGAGCATCTGGACCCACAAAGATTCATGCTGTATACTACCATAGAGTTGGCAGAAGGATGGTCAATAATCAAAGGTGCCTTTACAGACTAACCCTTTTTCAGGCTAACCCTTTTTCAGGCTGTCAGCAAATGTTCACTCTCCGTATTTCTTAAAAGCAGAAAAATTTACCAGATGACAATATAAAACTAAGAGGAAAAGTGATTTCATATGGAAAAATTAAGGAAACCTGGAGTAAACATTGAACTAGACAATGTTAACCAAATCTAGCTGCTCTCAACTAGGCAAAAATCAAGGATAGTTCACAAATACCAATATACTCAATGTCTGCTACAGTCTGCAATTCTGGAAGTAAAATGTAAAGAGGAAAATGAAAAAGAATTTCAAAAACCTCTTTAGAGTTTATCACACCTACTTGAGTTTTCAGTGTTCTCTCTGTGAGCAGCTGCTTCTCAAACTGTGCTTTAATAGCAGCTGCACTGATCTCCTCATCCTTCAGCCGTGACAGCTCTGAAACAGGGAAATGTCAAGATTATATTAATAACTATAGCAAATGACAAAACATTAAGCATATTTCAAATAAACTTATTCTTTGTTAATACATACGTTCTTGTGCATCTTTCAATTTGTTATTTAATTCTTCTTTCTCATTTGCAAGATTGGCAACATCACTAGTTAGTGTCCTATTCGTTTCTTCAAGCTAAAAAGTTTAAGTGGAAAAAAATCATATCCCAATTTACAAGGTCTATGTTATAAAGCAATCTTTCAAAAGGAAAAGAGACCAGAATGCTGCTAAAACTCTTATTTTTCTAAGCACATCTATTTCTATACTTTGTTGCTTTTTGGAACCTTATGGAACTTCACCCCTGAGGAGAATTTCGCTAACCATTTTGGATTTCAAGTGCACCACAGGAAGCCAAAACCTGCCCCTTCTCTCAAAAACCCTTAGCAACATTTTTTTTTTTTTTAAGATTTTATTTATTTACTCATGAGACACACAGAAGGAGAGAGAGGCAGAGACATAGGCAAAGGGAGAGGCAGGGGCTCCCTGCAGGGAGCCCAATGCAGGACTCAATCCCAGAAGCCTGAGGATCACGACCTAAGCCAAAGGCAGACACTCAACCACTGAGCCACCCAGGTGCCCCTTAGCAGCATTTTTAATGAGAAAAATATTTAATAAACTAAAAACAAACAAACATTTTAACAAAGCTCCGCATTTTATCATGCAGAATAAACAAATTTTAAAATGGTAGTATTTCTTTCAGAACATTTTAAAACAAAATTTTACTAAAGCAGCTGACATCCTTGTTTATTCTCTCCAAATCCTACTCCTACTCTTCTCACCCAAAATAAATTGTATTGAGAATTATGTGTTCATCCTTCCCATATGTGATTATATACTTTTGTTGCAAAAACATAAAACAGTATGTGTAGTGTCGTTTTATGTGATTTTAAATTGTCCATAAGTATCACACTATATCTTTCTGTATCTGCCTTCACTGGACATTGTATTAAAATTAACCTGTTGACAGGGGATCCCTCGGTGGCTCAGCGGTTTAGCGCCTGCCTTTGGCCCAGGGCGTGATCCTGGAGTCCCGGAATCGAGTCCCACATCGGGCTCCTTGCATGGAGCCTGTTTCTCCCTCTGCCTGTGTCTCTGCCTCCCTCTCTCTGTGTGTGTCTCTCATGAATAAATAAATAAAATCTTAAAAAAATAATAAAAATAAATTTAAAAAAAACTGTTGACATATAAAGACCTAATTAATTCATTTTAACTGATACAGTAGTTCCATCTACTACCTCTATCAATGATCCACTCATTCATCTGTATATAAAACATTTGAATTTTTGCTATTATAAACATATACGCTGCTATGAAAATTATGCCTTAATTTCTCCAGCATATTTATCTTAACATAGACTTTCTTTGGATTATGTGAATATTTAAACTGTCATATTTGGGATATTTAAAGTACTTAAAATAATAAGTATTAAAAATTGCCATACTACTTACTGTACTATGCCATACTGCATCTACACTCCTCATAGTTGTATGAGAATGAGAATGTCATTTCCCATATATCCTTCGAACACTTGAAATTAGCCAGATACTGAATTTTGCCATTGTAATGAGTATGAAATGGTATTTCAAAGTTACTTTATCTAGCCCTTCTTCTTTTTTTTTCTTTTTAAATTTTTTTAAATTTTTATTTATTTATGATAGTCACACAGAGAGAGAGAGAGAGGCAGAGACACAGGCAGAGGGAGAAGCAGGCTCCATGCACCGGGAGCCCGACGTGGGACTCGATCCCGGGTCTCCAGGATCGCGCCCTGGGCCAAAGGCAGGTGCTAAACCGCTGCGCCACCCAGGGATCCCCTTATCTAGCCCTTCTTAAAGAGTAGTTACGTTAAGCATCTGCCTATGTTTTTAGGGTTTTCTCTTTTGGCCAGTTTTCTGGATTGTTTAACTTTTTCTTAGTGAGCTTGAAGGAGTGCCACATGTGTTCCTGATACTAGTCCCTTGTTTAATGAATACATTACAAATATCTTCTCCTTATAATTTGTTTGTTGTCTTCTGTTATCGTAAGTTTTGGATTTCGTTCTAATTAAAATTTTTCTTTTTCATATTTGGGTCTTTAAGATAGCTAAAATGTATTTTTGTTAGTTGGAAAAGGTAAGGATCTTTTTTCTTCTCTATATAAGAACAGAGTCATCAGGGATGCCTGGGTGGCTCAGTGGTTGAGCATCTGCCTTTGCTCAGGGTGTGGTTCTGGGATCGAGTCTTGCATTGAGCTCCCTGCAGGGAGTCGGCTTCTCCCTCTGCCTAGGTCTCCGCCTCTCTCTTGTCTCTCATGAATAAATAAATAAAATCTTTATTTAAAAAAAAAAAAAGGTAGAGTCATCCCAAACCATTTATTACACCTGAATCCTTTCCCACCAGTGTGTCTATTATTACCACTACTATCATATACCACATTCCTGTACATGCATGAATCTGGTTCTGGCCTCCCTACTCATCTCCACTGAACAGGATTAAATATCCTTATTCTAATACCACACTTTTTAACCACTATAGCAATTTAATGACAAATTCAATTACTTGGCATTTACTTCTCTTTTGAAATTTTCATTACAATTTTTTCAACCTGCATAAGAGTAACCTTCATGGTCATTTCAAGATTCTTTTCAACTAAACTTTAACCAAAAAAAAAAAAAAAAAGACATACTAATCCTGCGTTTGGTATTTAGGTCTTTCACTCTGAATTTACCACCAGGTAGAGCCACTGGAAGCAGTTCTTTTTTGAGCCTCTTTCTGCCAAACTCTGAGAAGCTAATGGTCCAGTGGATTCAAAATTCTATGGCCAGCATATAAGATTTTTCATTTCTTTTTTTTTTTTTTTTAAGATTTTTCATTTCTATCTGTAGTATTTCCCTAGTGCTTTTAAGGAAGACTGATGATCTAGTAATTTAATTAAAACCAAAAAAGAACTTAAAATTTTACTTACAGATGCAATTGTAGCATCTTTTTCAGTGAGTTCCTGTTTGTGTCTAGCCATCATCTCTTTGATCTCAAGCTCCTTCATAATTTTCTCTTTTTCCAAATCAGAATACTGCTCTTCAGCAATTGAACGAGCCAGCTGCTCAGAATCTGCTTTGGTCAAGGTGATCTCCAGTTGAGCAGCCAAGGAATCCCTACATTTTAGTGATACATCATTTTAATAATCAATTTTCACTAGAAAGTCAAAGGTTTTGTCTAATGCACTTCATCAAATTCTTACTTGGAGTACAGCAGGCACTATTCTAGAAAAGCACATGACAATGAACAAAAGAGATAAGGAACTTGTCTTTACCTTTCTTCCTGTAATTCCTGTTTCTTCTGCTGTAATTCTTTACAAAGTTTGGTCTTTTCTTCACATTCTTCTTTAAGCTCCCTCACCTGAGTTTTATAGAGGGTCTAAATAGCAAAACAGGAACAGAAACTTATCATTGCCACTATCGTCATCATCATTGATTCTATTTCTACATTCACAGTCTATCCAGACAAACAGTCAAGTTGGACACATACAAATATGTTCCTGAATAGTGAGTAATGTTGGGCCCTTGAGCAAATTAATAGTTGAATGAACTTTTCTGGTAATCAACCTATTAACTAGTAAAAGTTACACTAATATTTTAGAAGCTTGATTTTCAACTAGATATCAGATTGAAGTTTCTCATTAAACAGAGATTGGTAGGATAAATAAAGAGGCAAAGAAAAATATTACTAATTTAGACAAGAAAATTTTGTTGGCTTAAATGAAACACAGGTGACATTATTACTTCATATCTTAAAACCGATCTGAAAAAGTACAAACATTTAAATGACAATTTTCTTTCTCTATGAAAATTCTACCTCAGAAAGCAATCTTTTTTGAATCACCTTCATAGGGTATGTGCTTAGGACCATTTTTCTAACAATGATGATAGATTTCTGTTAAGCTATCGTCATCTGCCCAGTTATCTCTTTTTATATGAATTGTGTGGTACAAAACATCTTATCCAAATCTCTGTCTAGTGTTGGCTGTAAGAATCTATTCTAAAGACAAAAATTATTTCCCTAGTTCTACAGCAAAAAAATTTACATTCTATAAACACAATAATTTTCAAATTAATGTATCTGGAACTTACTGAGAAATACTGCTCTGCTTCAAGCTGATCCTGAAGTTCTTTCATTTGCCCATCTGCATCTTGACGTTCTCTGTGGGGACATTGCAGCAAAGGTTCAAATAAGCTACACGCATAATAAACCAGCAACTCTTGAAATGTGGCCTAAGGCACAACTGGGCATCCCCAGGTCCTTAAAAAACCTAAAAGGTCAAATTATTTTCATAATACTAACCATTACTGTGTTGTTTTGTCTTGAATTCCCATTCTCTCACTAGTGTGTATGGACTTTTCTTGAAGTTATATAATTATGTCATCATTCCAACAGATAATGAATGAAATTAGTGTTTGTATGCTCTTGTGTTTTAAAATTTTGTTTTAATTTCTAACACAAAAAATATCATTAGATATAACTCACATAAACAAAAATTTGGGGGGCTCTTGATAATTTTTCAGAGTATAAAGGGGTCTTAAAATCAGAGTGATTAAAGCAGTGATACTAAATTATATATTCTCAAACATTTGATGGGATCAGCCATTTCTACCAACCAAGTAGGAGAATTAAGAGCATCTCAGAATTAGTAATCTTAGGATGAGTGAAAAATGACAAGAGAGTGGAAGGAGTGCTTATTTTCATGTTCATATGTAGATAATAACTGCACAGATCTGTACATTTTGTAAAAATTCACTGAGCTCTATATTTGTGTTTTTTTTTTCCTGTATGTATATTCATCTTCAATAAAGAAATAAAATTAGGAGCACCTGGGTGGCTCAGTTAAGCATCTGCCTTTGGCCCAGGTCATGAACCCCAGGTCCTGGGATCGAGTTCCGCATCAGGCTCCCTGGTCAGAAGAGAATCTGCTTCTCCCTCTCCCTTTGTGTGCTCTCTCTCAAATAAATAAATACAATCTTAAAAAATAATATAAAATAAAACTATAAAAAAAAAGTAAGTGGGCAGCCCAGGTGGCTCAGCGGTTTAGTGCCTGTCTTTGGCCCGGGGTGTGATCCTGCAGTCTCAGGATTGAGTCCCACATCTGGCTCCCTGCATGGAGCCTGCTTCTCCCTCTGCCTGTGTCTGTCTCTCTCTCTGTCTCTCATGAATAAATAGATAAAATATTTTTTTTAAAAAGTTATCACTCAATATCACTTATCTGTGTTATATCTGTATTTTATTATTTAGGTGTGTACTATTAAAAATGATTCTTATTTTTGAGTCAAAAATGTGAATAATGCTAATTAATAATATATAAAAGGTCAATATTTATTTATTTATTTATTTATTTATTTATTTATTTATTTATTTATTTATTTATAGATTTTATTTACTCATTAGAGACACAGAGAGAAAGGCAGACATAGACAGAGGGAAAAGCAGGCTCCACCCAGGGAGCCTGATGTGGGACTTGATCCCAGGATCCCCATGTCACAACCTGAGCCAAAGGCAGATACTCAAGCACTGAGCCACCCAGGCACCCCAAAAGGTCAATTTTTAAAATGATCTCATCATTATCAGCTAAACCGATTTGTAGCAAAACCCAGTATACTTTTAATATCATGATCGTGAAAAACTGCTAGCATTCATTTATATACAACTTTAAAAATCTAACATTTATCAGGTATTTTAAAAAAGTATTTTTCAAAAAATACCACACAGGGCAGCCCGGGTGGCTCAGCAGTTTAGCGCTGCCTTCAGCCCAGGGCCTGATTCTGGAGACCCAGGATCAAGTCCCGCGTCGGGCTCCCTGCATGAATCCTGCTTCTCCCTCTGCCTGTGTCTCTGCCTCTCTCTCTCTCTCTCTGTCTGTCTGTGTGTGTCTCTCAGGAATAAATAAATAAAATCTTAAAAAAAAAACACATAATATGCACATGGTTACAATTAAATAGTACAGATAGCACAGAAAAAATTATAATGAAAGGTAGCAAAGGTAGCAGTCTACTTATCCACACCTCTTAACACCCTAATCCTATACCCCTAGAGGATTTTACTTTGTTCCATTTCTGCGTTTTGTTCTTTTGACGGTTACCTCCATGTCTCAGCTTATTTCTGGATATAAATTTAAAATATTTTTTTATCAATTCTCTGCTGCCAGAATAGGAAATCAGCTTTTAACAACCCTAACCTCTCCCCAAACCCCTGTAATATAGTTGTATCACTGGCTTTAGCCACATAACCACACCTCACTTCCTACTCCATCAACCATAAGCCACAACCTCCCCAGTTGGTGATGAGAACTGGAAAAGTCCCATCCTCTTATTTTTGAAATTTCATGAGAACATTTCTAAAAGTGAGTCTTTTTTCATTTATTTTCTGCTGAGTCCTTCAATCTAAAGACTTCTCTATAAGCTATGGGAAACAGTTTTCTATTATTTCTTTAATAACTTCCTCCACCTCAGTTTCTCTAGACTTCATCTGGTGTCAAACTCCTGGGACAGTTCCTTTTGTCTTATCTATTTCCCTCATATCTTCCATGTAATTTCCTCTTGTTCTACGTTTGATGAAATTTCTTTGAATTTTTTCATCTTTGTCAACTCTTCCTATTCTGGCTGCCCTTTTTGCATTATTCCAGGTTCTTGTTTAATGGAAATAATATCTCTTAGAAGTTTTGATCAATACTAATTATTACCAGTAGGCTTTTTAAAAAAATTATGCCAGGGGGGTGGGGGTGAATGGGTGACAGGCACTGAGGGGGACACTTGACGGGATGAGCACTGGGTGTTATTCTGTATGTTGGTAAATTGAACACCAATAAAAAATTAATTTATTAAAAAAAATTATGCCTTTTATTTGTTAATTTCTCTTCTTCCCTGACATATTTTTCATCTGGGGGTGTGTTTCCTTTTTATCATACTCTTTTTCTTTAGTACTGTTCAGGCTATCCCTAAATGCCTAGTGATATTTGGTTATTCACTTACAAATGAAGAGATAGAAATAACAATCTCTATGCATGTGGAAGAGGTTTTCTTTTTTTTTTTAAAGATTTATTTATTTATTTATTTATTTATTTATTTATTTATTTATTTATGAGAGAGAGAGAGAGAGAGAGAGAGAGAGAGGCAGGCAGAGACACAGGCAGAGGGAGAAGCAGGCTCCATGCCGGGAGCCCGATGCGGGACTCGATCCCGGAACTCCAGGATCGCGCCCTGGGCCAAAGGCAGGCGCCAAACCACTGAGCCACCCAGGGATCCCTGGAAGAGTTTTTCTAACTGGTAAGTTTCATTTTAAGATGAGAGCTTAAAAAGCCAGCATTAAGCAGAGACCCCTAAAAGGCAAAATAAGAATAACTTGACTCCATAACCTACAGAGGGTAAACCTAACTTTTTTGAAGGACTGCTTTGTAGGAACCCAAGTAGTGGTAGTGCCTAGCCTGAGACATTTCTGTAAGGGCTGGTAGGAAGAGTAGGACCAGCAGATTATTCCATTTATAGCATCACATCTTACTCCACCCCTTCAAGGTACTTGAATACTGAAACATTTTCTTCTCCACTAATATCCTATTTCACATATATTCCTGGCTGTTGCTTCCTTTGCTCTACATCATTAGTGAGGTTTCCACTTGCTACTACCTCATTAACGAAATAAACTTCTTCTCTTCCAACCCATTGTAACTCTTGATATGGATTTACGCATTTAAAAAACTCCTTTACTAAAGTTTTATTGGAATTTTGGAAAGAAGAAAAGATATATATGTTAACCATTTTCAAATACAAGCCTACATAGTATTTCATATGTAAATTCCCATGGCGTGTATATATTACTTTATCCTGGTATTCCAATTACTTATGTACCCATCTTACCTCTCCCTAAGGAGTGACTTCTGATAAAATGCTACTAAGATTCTTTTTTTTTTAATTTTTTTTTATTATTTATTCATGATGGGGGGGGGGGGCAGAGACACAGGCAGAGGGAGAAACAGGCTCCATGCACCGGGAGCCCGACGTGGGATTCGATCCCGGGTCTCCAGGATCGCGCCCTGGGCCAAAGGCAGGCACCAAACCGCTGCGCCACCCAGGGATCCCTAAGATTCTTAAAGGTAGGAAATGTACCTGATTCATCTTTGAATCTCCCACAGTGACTATGAGTGCCTTATACATTACAGGTAAGGTTTCATTCATGCAACATTTGAGAATATACTATGTAGAAGACATTAATCAGGGGTTGAAGAGAACAAAACATAAAAAAAGATGGTTGCAAAAAAAAAAAAAAGATGGTTGCCTTTCAGTGAACTTAAAATGTACTAGGTTAAGACAGCAAATTTGAGTTCTTTCAAGAGAAAGGTTTAGGAACTTAGGGATTAAGAAACAACAGATCCATATGTACCTGCAAAGAAAACAAGGGGCATATATACTAAGTACTATAAATTTGGTATAAACAGTATAATTAGAACAAGAGAGGAAAGAATCTAGATGTTTAATCTGCTCTTACATTCATATAACCACTATGGTCAGAAATAGATACTATGGATACTAGAGATACTATGGAGAATATCTATTCAGTCAAGTTGTTTTAAGGATACACAGCTTGCTTGTATTCTTGATCAGAACTGGGCCAATGAATTCTAACCCAGAACTTAGGGTACTTTCTGAAATTGGGGTCTAGAAAAGTCAAATCAGAGGCTCTCCAAATAAATGAAGTTATAAAATATATCTCTAGGATTATTTGTCCTTCTTGAAAGATGTTTTCTGTTAAATGGAAAAAGCTAGGTCTAAAATACGAGAATAATAAAGCTAATATATAGGAAAACAAAACAAAAGATAAAATAAAGATATCAAAATATCATTCAAGTTTCAAGTTCTAATTTTCAAAAGTTGAAATCTCATCAAGTTTAAGAGTCTAGGCTTACCCAGGCAACAGATCGGCAAAAAGAACAAAATCTTTTTGAACATCCTTTCCTAGATAGTGTCAATACAGGAATGCTTGACCATCCTTTCCTAAGTAGTATCAAGTTTACTGATCTGTCATAGGTATGTAAAAAGCAAGCAATGATGATAAGAGAGGAACAGTTGTAGTAGGACAGTAGTATTAACAGTAATAGCTGTACTAGTAATGGCCCTTACTGTTTATTATGTGCTAGATGCTGTAAATAAATCATTGTTATCCTTCCAGAATGCCTAACAAGGAAGCTCTTACTACCCCTTTTTGTAGGTCTTATGATAAAAGGCTCAAAGAGGGGGTGCCTGGATAGCTCAGTTAGTTAAGTATCCAACTCCTGATTTCGGCTCAGGATATGACCTTGGGTTCATGGGACTGAGCCATGCATTGGGGCTCTGTACTCAGTGTAGAATCTGCTTGAGTATATTCTCCCTCTGATCCGCTCCTCCCAACTCATGTTCTCTGGGTCTAAAATAAATAAACAAATCTTTTCTTTTTTTTGACTTTTTTTTTTTTAATTTATTTATTCATGATAGTCACAGAGAGAGAGAGAGGCAGAGACACAGGCAGAGGGAGAAGCAGGATCCATGCACCGGGAACCTGATATGGGATTCGATCCCGGGTCTCCAGGATCGCGCCCTGAGCCAAAGGCAGGCGCCAAACCGCTGCGCCACCCAGGGATCCCATAAACAAATCTTAAAAAAAAAAAAAAAAAAAGATAAAAGGCTCAGAGAGGTTAAATATTTTGCCCAATGTTGGTCAGCTAGTAAGGAATGAGACTAGAATTCATACCTCAATCTATATCCAAAGCCTATGCTCTTTCCAAATAACTGGGATTCAAAATGACCTTTGATCATGACTGGGAAAAAGTGATTCTACTACTAATGACCGAATGGGACAAACTTTAACAGTATATTTATTGTACACTTCAAAGGATTCTAAACTATGTTTTCTATTTTCTAAGCAAATAAAACAGACTACTAAAGTATAACATAAAAAATGATTTAAAAATTTGTATGGTGTTTGCTAATAATCAAACATTTCCAAGTCCCAGAAACTGAAGGAACAAACAAAAAAGCACATGGAAAAAGTGTGAAGACTCTTAAGAGCTTGAAGTGAAAATGTCAGTTTCTTCTACTCCAACAGCAACATTGTATCATTATATGTAGAAGTAGTAAACAATCGTTGGGGAAGTAAATATAATCTTCTTGAAGGAGGACAGTGGCACTCCATACATTAATTATACAGAAAAATAGAGCAAATGTGGTCAAGAATATGACATGACCAAAAGAAAATCCCCAGGTAAATAAAAATTAAGGTAATTTACATACAGATAGTTGTACATATTAATAAAACTTTGTCTCAATTTACTTACTTCCGAAGTTCAGCATTCTGCTTTTCCAAGCTCATTTTCATTTCCATGAGATGATTATTCTCTTGTTTTAACTGTTTTTCTGACATTTTTAGTGTGTTAACTTGCTGTGTTTGCATCTTCAAGTCATTTTGTGTAAGGCAGCGCTTCTGAGTTTCCTGCTCTATTTTTAATGTCAAGTTTCTAACCTAAAAAATAAAGGTCTACTTAGTAAAATATAAGTCATTATTTGATCGCTCTTATCAATGAAGCTTGTAGCAAATATGATCATGCAAAACAGACTTCTGCCCTTAGGCAGTTAATTTATTGCATGGTAAAGTATTTTTGTACTTCTGATGTCCTCATTTTTAAATAAAATATAGTCTTTAAGGTAAAAAATAACTTTAAAATTTTTTAATTGTGATTCATCATTGGGCATATCAGCTAAATTCAGTAAAATTAAACATCATAGAAAGCTATTTTATAAGAAAAAAATTTTTAATTATGAAACCATCATTACAGATAAACCTACGTTGACTATGATTTCAGTACACAGGTCTATTATTACTTATTATTAAACTTTATACTCACATCCTCATTTAGCACATCTTTCTGTTTAAGGAGTTCATTTATTTTCTGCTGTGACTGCTTGAGGTCACAGTCGAATAAAGAGCATCTTTTCTCAGCTTCCAGCAATAGATTCTCCACCTTCTGTTTTAACGTCCTTTCCTCTGAGAGCTTCTTCTCCATTTCTATTGCCACAAAAATGGACACAATCATGAATCCACAAACAAAAGAAGCATATGAAATACATGGCACAGTGCTATAAAAATTATAGTAAATGATGCTAGCTTAAAAACATTTTTAAAATTTCCAATTTAATATTTTCATCACCCTTGCTAATATGTTTGAAATGTCAACGGTTTCATGCTTGGAAATCAGGCATTTATTTCATCTGCATTGTGGAAAAATCTACCGCACTGCAATATTACATTCATTCCAACGGAAATAAGATAATTCTGCCATCACTGATGGTTCTAAAATAGACATCTTTTTGATAAAGATTTATTTCATTTCCCTGATACTCTTTTCCTCTTGGTGTCACTCTTCTTTTTTTTTTTTTTTAAAGATTTTATTTATTTATTCATAGAGACACAGCTAGAGAGAGAGGCAGAGACACAGGCAGAGGGAGAAACAGGCACCATGCAGGGAGCTGGATGTGGGACTCGATCCCGGGTCTCCAGGATCACGCCCTGGGCTGCAGGCGGCGCTAAACCGCTGCGCCACTGGGGCTGCCCTGGTGTCACTCTTTTTACCCTAAAAACATTCCACATAGATTTTATGATGTCTATAGCTCTTTCCATATTACCATATTACTATGCAGAGGAGGACAATTATATTTTGGGGAAATGGTAAAGGGACAAACTTCCTGAGGTTAAACCCTGACTCTGACACGTCCCAACTATATGCCTGGGCAAGTTAATTAACCTCTCTGAGGCTCAATCTCATCTCTAAAATGGTAATAGTAATACCCATCCTCCCTCACAGGGATGTTATGAAGGTTCTGAGTTAATATTTGTGTGGCACTTAAATGCTGCCTGGCATATGAAAAGCATTTGGTGAGTGCTCACTATTTAAGAAGAATGTTTAATGATCTGAGGAAAATGTTCACAGTATTACTTTAAAAGAAAAAAAAGCAAAACAGGGCAGCCCAGGTGGCTCAGCGGTTTAAGCAACGCCTTCAGCCCAGGGCCTGATCCTGGAGACCCAGGATCGAGTCCCACGTCGGGCTTCCTGCATGGAGCCTGCTTCTCCCTCTGTCTCTCTCTCTCTCATGAATAAATAAATAAAAATCTTTTTTTAAAAAAAAAAGCAAAACAGTATAAAAATTTCAGAAAATATACATACAAAATATCATCCTGATTAGTAAGGGTCAACCTTTACTTACTTTATACTTTCTTGTATTTTCTAAGTGATTTCTAATAACTTGTTTTATTGATCAGAAAAAGCTTTTAAAAGCCTTTTTATTTATTTAAAAAGATTTTATTTATTAGAGAGGGAGTGCACACAAGTAGAAAGGAGGGGCAGAGGGAGAGGGAGGTGGAGAAGCGGACTCCCTGCTGAGCAGGGAGCGACATGGTTCAATCCCAAGACCCCAGGATCATGACCTGAGCCTAAGGCAGATGCTTAACCGACTGAGCCACTCAGGTGCCCCTTAAAAGCCTTTTGAAAAGCAGGCAAAGTTTTGTCTAAGCAAGTGATTTCATATTAAAATCTCAGTTATTACCATTAAAGGATTACCTTTTGATGTACGGATTAGAAAAATCTGTTCAAAGTCAATTGGATTCCTTTCATATCTAATGCTTTATATCTGGTTATCATTTATTATAGAGTTATATAAGGAAAAATTAAACCTATGTATTTTCAGTTTTTAATGTACTATCTTCACAAGCGTGTAAAAAAAACGAAACTATTCTTCATATTCTACTCGTATCAGCTAATATTTCTAAGCATTTTTCATCTGTCAGTGCACTTGGTTTTCACAACTTAATACTCTAATTGTCTCTTTAGAGGAAAGAATGCACAAAAAAGGGTAACTACAGACAAAGTCACATAACTAGTGAATTCATTAGTAAGCCATATTCTTAATAAAAGGAAGCCTTGACATGCAGTGGAAAGACCAAAGGCTTTTAGATCTGGATTTGAGTATCAGTTACATTTAAGTTTTACGTACTCATGTAAAATATGAAAGTTATCATACATCTTATGTCAGTAGTAAAAAGGAGTTTGAAAAAATGGTAGGTACTATTATGCTGAATTGGTTCAATTTTGTCATTTCAGAGAATAACCTATGGACACATGTACTCATTTAGAAAACAATCACCCTAATGTGGGCAGAGAATAGAAAGGGGCACAAGCAAACTTACTGAGGTGATAGAACATGAGGTGTAGAACACAGATTCTACAACTTGTTTTGAGCGGTGGTTACACGTGTGTATTAAAACGTGGAATGTGCCTGCATTTTATTGCACCTAAATTATACCTCAAAAGAAATTCAATTCTATCTTCTAGGCCACTGACAGGGAAACATGGCCCACTAACTTCCTCTCTTGTAATTAGATTTTTTTAAATAAAGCATTCATTTAATCTCTTAACATCCTCAATTATTTGCCTTAGACTAAACGGACCTTAACCAAAAAGATCTCCAATTTTAATTACATTCAATAATTGAAAAGCTATTTTGGGGGCTAAGTTATTCATAAATGTTATCTTCAGTATGAAATAAAATCTCTGCTTAAGAGTTCTATAAATCTTCTACAAGAGTATTTTATTAATTTCCTTTGGAATTTCAAATCCAACATAATTATAAGCAGTCAATTAGGAAAACAAATTATCCTAAGATGATTTCAAGAAACATGCTGGTTTGTGGATAAGTGAACTCTGTTATCTTATCCTGTATTCCTTAGTAGTGGATGACTTTAAGCTAATATTTTCATCATGCCAGAGTTCAAAATATTCAAAGAGCTTATACTCTAGTTAGGTCAGCGACTATTTTTAAAACATTTATCTTGCATAAACTGGAAACAATTTCATTATACAAACTGGCGAAAGTCAAACTGAATATTATAAAAAGAGGAAATCCCCCAAATCTGAAGATATATATAGAACCTCATGTTCTGTATGCCTGTTACTACTGATACTGAAAATTGAAATATTAATTTCTCCCTGATCCTTAAATTTGGTTGCATAATTTTGTGTTTGTACCTTACTATCTTAGAAAAGCTTACTGCCATAAAAGAAAAAAAAATGATATGTATATAAAGCTTCCCCAATGTTTTTTTCTTTCTAGTTCCCAGTATTTGACAATTAAGATATAAAAAAATATTTTTCAAAATCAAAGGGACTACAGAATCAATTCTTAGTACAATGCTCTGGGAAAATTCTCTTAGAAAAAAGAATACCTTTCATGGCTTCTGATTTTGCTTCTTCAATGGACTCATAAATCTTATTTTTATCTGCCAGCCGTGCTTTTGTGGCCTTATGCTCAGCTTCTTCTTGTTCTAAGCTCTGCTGTATAACTTTTAGTTGGTACGTCATATCTATTTCCATGTTGTTCTTTTCCTATTAAAGATTTAAAATAGCAACTATCAACAAAAAAAAAAAGACTGGCTCACATTTTCAAAAACTTACAAAGTTCTTTTTTTTACAGGCTAAGAACATTCAATACCTTTCCTCCCCTCTTCACTCAAACAAACTTCTTATAAAAGTGCTCCATGGAATCCATCTCCTGTGGCACCATGTCCCATCCCTCCACTCTACAGTTTGGAGATCTGCCCTGAGAGCGGTTGATCTCAAGAGACGAAGCAATGATATTCTCAACATCAGATTCAATACACACTTTTCAGTCCTTATCTCATTTAGACTCACTGTCGCCCCTGAAACTATTGCCTTGATATACCTGACATTGAACTCATGTGGCTCCCCACTTCCTGTTCTCATCTTTTCTGTCACTTATGCAGTTTTCTCTCAGTTGTTCTTTAAATGCTGGTGTTCTCTGAAGGTTGTGCTCTTCAGCCACAAAGCTTCTCCCCTTTCTATATCATTATTCCTCACTTTAAAAACATATCTACTATTTCCCTTTGCTATATCTAAAGATAAATTTTCAGGATCCTCTACCATTTACCCTCTTATATTCCACGTAGGAGACTTAAGTTAGGAATCTTAAATTATAGATGTCAATTTTCTATACATCCCCAAAAAAGATTTTCTGATTCTTTGTTCTCTATAGTTTTATCATAAATGTACATATTTTCTTTTGATTTTTCAATACATCTTTAATCCTAAAAATGATTTTTTTCAATCCACCAACAGAGTAATCTACTCTGCCCTGAAAAACCAATGGTCTAAACAATCTCTTCCCAGATAGGCTTTCACTCACAGGGCTTCAGCTACTCCTGTACCAATGACTCTCAAATATTTCTAGCTTCAACAAACATAGTTTACTGCTTTGTAAACATCCTAATTTGGCTGACTCACAGGCGCCTCAAACTGAGGACTAAAATAGATTTGTCATGGTCTCTTCTTTTTTTTTTTTTGTCATGGTCTCTTCTAAAAGAGCTGTTTTCCTTTATTCTTTCTTAATTAGTGATACCATTATATATCTTGTCATAAAGTAGGAACCTAGAACTCATCCTTAATTAAGTACCACATACATATCTCATCTAATCAATCGCTAAGTGCTGCCAAATATACTTCCTTCAAATATTTCTCAGATTCACCCGTATTTTCCATCCTTTTAACCACTGTACTAGTTAAGTCTTCATTATCTGAATTACTGAAAAAGCCTTTGACTAGTCTCCCTACCTCTTATATTGTTTTCTTCAAATTTATCCTCCACATGGTATACAATGATCTATCTTAAATTCATCTCTAGTAAGAGGATCCAACTTACAGTCCTTCAGTGGCTAGTCCACCTAGAAAAACTAAGTTTAAGAGAGTATATATTCATGCCTAGTTCTATAGCTTCATTCTGGTTACTGAATTCCTTACACTTAACATTAGGACCATATTGCAGTCTTCAGGCCAATTCTGGTCTGATGTCTATTTTTGTAAAATTTCACTGGAATAAAGCCACACCCATTCCTTTATGGACTTCAGCAGAGCTGAGCTGCAACAGAGACCATATGGCCCTCAAAGCCTGAAATATTTACTGTCTTTTCCTTAAAAGATTAGAATTTGTTGACCCTTGCCCTGTACTTCAGAAATATTGAGCAGTTTGCAATAAACAAACCAACTGTGCCTTTTCTATTTTTCATCCTTTGTACCTATGCTCATGCTGTCTCCCCCAAATCAGAATGTGCCTTTACCCTGCCAACCAATCTTGCCCTGTCAGCCTGGGGCTTTATCCTGTGCATCCAATATACCCGGTCCATTCTTCCAGCATTCTATTTACCATACCACGTTGAATTATCTGTGTACCTTATTATTACTTTAGAAGATACTCATTAGATTGTGGGGTTTTTTAAATTAATTTTTTAAGTAGGCTCCACACCCAACGTGCCACTTGAACTTATGATCTTGAGATCAAGAGTCAGGTGTTGTACCATCTGAACCAGCCAGGTGCCACAAATGTGAAATTGTTAAAGGCAAGCAAGGAGTGCATCCTGACAGATGACACATTAAATACTTAAACAAATGAATAAATAAGAGAACAAAAATACCATATTAGCTGCATAGAGTCTAGAAATAATGCCTGGCTTATAGTATTTTTTTTTTAAGATTTTATTCATTTATGAGAGAGAGAGAGAGAGAGAGAGAGAGAGATATGCAGAGACACAGGCAGAGGGAGAAGCGGGCTCCATGAAGGGAGCCCGATGTGGGACTTGATCCCAGGACTCCAGGATCAGGCCCTGGACTGAAGGCAGCGCTAAACTGCTGAGCCACCTGGGATGTCCTTATAGTATTTTTGAAGAAAAATTTCTAAATGCCAGAAGCCATGATAACTTTACATCATTTTTAAGACATGTTATAAGTCAAATTTTGAGTTTTCTTTGGGTCCCTAGGGAGAAGCATCCACTGAAAGTATACTGATTTCCCTTATTTTAAATTTTCCAATCTGAAATTCTATAATCACTTTCTTACAAAATATAAAGCTGAACATGTTTTACCTTTTCCAAATCAGTAAGTCTCTCCTGCAGTTGTCTCTTCTCCACCTCTGCTTTTGCTAATAAGAGTTTTCCATTCTTTAAGTCTTCTTCTAGGCCAGATATTCTACCTAAAATTGCAACATTTTAAAAACAATAAACCCACGAATTGCTTGTCCCTGTGTGTATCAAATTAAGAGTAAAAAATTTCAGAAGTTGCCTCATAGTTTGGAGCTGTTATTTATGAGCAGTTTTATAATTGTCGGTAGAGTGCATTATAGGGAAGTCAAGTGGAACCCAAAACATTGCTTAGGAAGTGGTTTGACAACTTCAAATATTTCACACTATTTTAAAGTAAACCTTCTATTCATAAAAGTTGTAGAATGCATTTCCAACACCCAATTTTCACATAACAGAGTAGTGTATTCAGAAATATGCTATTCCAACACATTATCCATCATCCAAGGTTCTTTCCAAATATCAAGGTTATTTCCAAAATACAAATTATCAAGATGAATCCAAGTGTAATCTCTACATTAATACCTTGTAAGTCATTAATTATCTCGGATCCGTGGGTTCGGTCCCTCCTTTCAGATTCTAGAACTGACTGAAGATTCATAAATTCCTTTTCAAGTTTTAACTTGGCAGTCTCTAGCAGGCAATTTTTATCTTGGAGATCTCTATTGTTAGATTCCAGCTGCTGAATCTGTTTTGAACTTTCTGCCTGGGTTTTTCTTAACCGGGCCGCAGTATCAGATTCTGTTCTCAGTAAAGCATTGGTTTCATCCAGCTGTTATTCCATTCAAAATCAATCAAACAACAAACACAGGTATATATAATGAAAATACTTCCATTTAGTACCCCATTATAAATTAAAGTAAAAAACAACAAAAAAAAAAACACCTAAAATTATTTTCCTAATGATTTCCCTTTAAAATTAGAGGCAAAGAAAGCTTTTATATAACACTGCCAACTAAAACTAGTATTAAGAAGTCATCATAAAAGAAATAATAATAAAAATTTTAAAAAAAGAAGTCATCATAAAGAATATTCGATATCCTTACTACAACTGAGATTGACCTACTTGTCTCTGGAGCTGATTCACTTTCTCGGTGGATATTTGAGAGTTCTGATTTCTTTTCTTCAAATCTTCAAGTTGATCTTTTAAACTGTTAACTATGATAAAAAGCATTTCAGTGGCAAGCTTCAACACAACACACACTTACATACGCACTTAATTTTTTTCTTGACAAGTATTTAATATTCTACACCACAAACCATCATTTTCCAAATTCCGCTTCTTGTCTGCTTCGTGATCAGCTTTCCGCTGATATTCTGCATTTTTGTGCTGAAGAAGTGCCTTTTCTCTTTCTAATTGTCTTAATGCTGATTCCACATTTTTCCTTAAAGTAATCTGAAATAATGCAAAAGTTATTACCAAAGGAAAGTATGCATAAAAATCAAATGAAAACAGTATTTCAGTATTTCAAGCAGATAAGGACACTTTTAAAAATAAGCTGTTAACTGCTACTTCGTTAAAACTCACAATATTTTCCATTATTTTCAAATAGCACATCTCTCCTAAATTATCAAGACCACAGTGCTCATTGTTTACTACTCAAAGTCAAGCTTTCTGAAATATTCCATCACCAATGAACCATCTTCACTTGATATACACTAGGGATCTAAAATGTTATCAACAGAAATTTAAGAAAAGAAACAATGGTCACTTTCTGTTGTTAAGCCAAGTAATTAATACAAATGCAAATTTTTTTTACTTGAAATATCTGAACATACTAAATTAACTCAAGTTTGTAAAAACAACAAAATGAAGTATAGCATCACAGTTACCCTGTAGTTTTAGTTCTGTTCACCAATGCTAGAAGGTAGGTCTTACTATATTATCAAGATATGTATTAGTTATGGTTCTAAGAGAACTCTGTAGGTAAGTCAGGCATCAAAACTTTTAGTGAAAAATGTTAATAAAAATACAGAGCAACTTTACCTCTTCTTCTAATTCCTTTGCTACTTTTTCAAGTCGAGTATTAACAGATCTAAAGAATTTCAAAAGAAATAGTAAAGTCATCTCTAATTCATAATAAAAACATTTACTTACTATAAATTTTAAAATAATCAAATAATTACTTTGTAACTCTTCATTTTTAGTAACATGCTTAGACAAATTTTAAAATACAACATTTAATTATCTATAAAACATACTTGCACTTTTGCTCTAGTTCTTCTTTGGCTTGTATCTCAGTGCTGAGGTGTTCTTCTAATGTATATAATTTTTTCTGAATCTGTCAGAAAACAAGAAACTATAAAGTTTGGTCACATTTAAAACATAAAAAGTTTAAAGAAAACAATGACAAGCTATTTTCTGAGCTGACTATAACCTCATCTATAATGGTACATACAGATTTGTACCTTCTTAATGTGACTTTTACTGACAGAGGGAAAAAAATTCTCCAACTTTGGTCTCTATCACAGTACACATGTATGCAAACATGTACATGTCTACACTACATAAATATATGAGTGAGAAGCCCTAAACTTGGTAGAATTCTTCTACAACACCAAGTCTCTCACTCACTATGAATAAAGGATATCTTCCAGTGTTCTTCCACAGATTATTTATATAAAAATACTGTCACTATATGTTCTTATAAGATGAAAGGTCTAGATCTGAAATAAATATCTGCAATACTTTGAACTTGCTCAAAAATATACTAGTGCTCTTAAAAATAAGAATTTGAGCTCTTCTTTGTACCTTTCTACAGTGCCAGGAACAGTACTATAAAAAGTTAGAATCAAGAACTCTTTGATGAATGATAGCTAACTGTTTAGAAGTCATTTCCTTGCCATTCTTTACACCTTCTTCTAGGCCAGATATACTGATTTTTAAATAAACTAAAATCAGAAAGTATTAAATAATCCATCTTTGGAGCATTATTACCTTTATAAAGGACTTAACTTTTTGAGTTCCTTTTGTGGCTAAGGGGATTGTGGCAGGCACTTTACAAATGTTGTCTCATTAATCCTAACAATGACCCTAAGAACATGGTAGTGTTGTACCTACTCAATAAAGAAAATGTAATTCAAAAAAGGTGAATAACTGGGCCAAGATTCCTTAGCTAATAAGTAGCTATCCCAAAAATCAATCCAAGTCTATTAGATTTCAAGGCCAACATTCTTTCCATTATTCTTTTGATAAGGTTCCCCATGGTTTCTTAAATATTTTATGTATCTTAAGCAAAAAATATTCTTTTTCCCTAATAAGAATATACAGGCCAATGAACAAGTCAAGTTTAATTGCTTTTGGCTGCTACTGCCTTAGTATAATTTGACCACACTAGTTTTCACATGCTAATCAGTTATATATCCTTGATAAATAAAACTAAGAAAATTACATAATACATATTTAAACAATAGATCCATAAGGGCAATAATGAAAGAAATACTTGGTAGAAAAAAGGTTGGAAACTTCTCTCTCGGGCAGATGTAGCATTCCAAATGCTAGGTGGAAAATGGCTATATCAAAAAACTGCTAGAGTGATGTGCTTTTCTCAGTTTTCAACATATGTGACATCAACATACCTCTTGACTTTCCTATTTAAAACAAACAAAAAAAAAATTAAAATGCTTGTATTCTTTATAAAATTCCTAAAATAAATCATACCAGAATTATCTAACCAACTTTTTTACTTTCTATAAATTTTAAGGAGAAAAATGTTTAGCATCCTTATTAATGTATTTGTGTGTATATGATTTACTTTTGAACAGTTACAAATTACAGAGGCCATAAAATACTGTAACAGTTCAATAAAAACACCATTTATCTAAATTCATTCCGAAACACTCAAAATTTATTTCCTCTGTTTCCGTACCCTTATACCTTATTATCTATAGTATTTTATAGTACTAAGATTACAAAAGTTTCTGATGTTATAGCTGTTTATAAATCTATTCCATCACTTTGCTACTAAAACTAAGCCTAAAGCCATGTATAATTCTCTAGCCACTGTATCTTAACACAATATTAACTGTCAAATAAATGAATCATTACAATGTCCTATAAATTGTATTACAACAAAGAATGACATCTATTGATTCAAAATGTAATATCAAATGAACTTTTAAACATATGGGTATTACTAAAATTAGTTGAACATGTGACTAAAATAGAGTAGTAAAAATCTATACATACTTCATTTTTCCTTGATTGTAAAGAATCATTTTCTCTACAAGATGAAGACTCACTTAATAACCTAGAAGAAAAGGCAGGAAATAAATCCTTTGCATGTCATCCTAATCCATTTTCTAATAGCCCCAAATTCTTCTCAGAATTAAATTCCAACCACAAAGATTTCTCTTTTTCACTTCAACATATTTTAAATGAAGCAATGTTTTCCCCTCTACACATTTATCATTCTCAGTAACAAAATGCTGCACTTTTTTTTTTTGCTCCCCACTCATTGGATGTTCTAGTCTTTAATATTGTTGAGATTGGAGTTACTAAATGGGCTATCCTTTGCCCCTTTTCATCTCATTTTGAGTTCCCGTAACTATTTTATCTAGAAATCTTCTAGAAAAAAGATATCATTCCTCCTTTTCAAAGATGACATCTCGATTCCCAGGCCTTAGTCCATAAATCATCACTTCTATTTAATTGTCAATTTCTCTCTTTAACTGTAAGGTCGGTCCTTCCTCGCTGCCTATAAAAATGCTTTAGTTTCTCCAGGCATTTTAGTGAACATTACAATAGTTTTTAGAATACTATCATTAGCAGGGTGGTTAACTTATCCTGGCTTGCTGGAGATCTTCTTAGTTTCAGCATCAAAGTCCCTTGCCATATCCTAGGAAGCCCCCCAGTCCTGGGCAAATCAAAATAGTTGATCATCCCTACCATTATGGAAGTACCAGAAGTTTCTCAAATATATGTTTCTCAAATGTCTTTAATGCCTCACTCCTCACTGCCTGTCAAAGTCAAAAGTCCCTCAGTATAGCACACAACAATCATCATCCGCTGCTTTATTCTTCCTCTGAACTCCAACTCCAATACAGTTTTTAATCTTTTACAACTCATACTCACTGCAACCAGGATTTATTGGCCTTGTGCCAGGCTCTGTGCTACATGTAGGGATTACAGGCAAGAAACTTGAAATCATCATTAGGTCCCCCACATGATGTAATACAGTAATATGCATCTTATGTTTGAGCCCTGCTAGACCACACTACTCTGCTCCATATGTGTGCCAATATGCCACACTTTGCTTCCCTTGTTCATCTTCTCACAGCTCTTACCTAACCTCCCCACGTCTTGGCCACTGAAAACCCTTTCTTAGCTTACAAATACCACCTCTTCCCTGACGTCTTACCTGACTCCTTACCCTCACCAGAGATGTTCCTTTTATTTTCCTCCTGAATCATCTCAGATATTTTGGGACCTTTCTTAAGGCAAATATCACTTTCTATCCTTCATTATGACTGTATTATTCTTTCACATCCCTCATTAGTTGATAAACTCCTCCAAATGCAGGCATTTAGTCTTACTCTCTGTCCCTACAAAGAATATAGAACAATGCCTTGCATACATTTGTAAATGTGTAACATTCAGAAATAATGTAATTAGCGGCGCCTGGGTGGCTCAGTCAGTTAAGCCTCTCTGCCTTAGGCTCAGGTCACGTTCTTGGAGTCCTGGGATTCAGCCCCAAGTCAGGCTCCCTGCTCAGTGGAGAGTCTGCTTCTCCCTCTGCCTGCCACTCCCCCAGCTTGTCCTCTCTCTCTGACAAATAAATATAAATAAAATCTTTCAAAAAAATGGAATTAGATGAAAAGTTCTGACAGTCTTTTTTTAAAAACTCAAAAGTTTAAAACAAATTAACACTTTTTCTTCTCACAAGGTAAGATAACTCTTTACAGCTAAATACTGAAAACAATAAAAATCTAACAAGTCACGTACAGATTTTCTCTATAGTAGGTAAATCCTATAAAAGGCAGCTGATTTCCCACAAAAGCTTTAGGAATTGGAAAAGTTTCTACATCTCCTTTATCATCTTCGATGTCATCAAAATTGCTGCTGTCTATGTCACTGCTGAGTTCTGGTACTACAGGAGCTGCCGCTGTTAAAAGAAAAGAAATGGATAATTTTCTTCATAATCAAAATACACATTAACCATCCAGATTTTGTTTTATATCAATTACATATTATTAATATGTATTAATACCAAACATTATACAGTAATAACATATAATTAATAACATTATGATTTACTGTAAAAAATTTTGGTAATATGTTTTACATTCTTTCATTTCAAAAAATTAAAATTGGGATCCCTGGGTGGCGCAGCGGTTTGGCGCCTGCCTTTGGCCCAGGGCGCGATCCTGGAGACCCAGGATCGAATCCCACATCGGGCTCCTGGTGCATGGAGCCTGCTTCTCCCTCTGCCTGTGTCTCTGCCTCTCTCTCTTTCTCTCTCTGTGACTATCATAAAAAAATAAAAATTAAAAAAAAATTAAAATTTTATTCAAGTATTTTATTACTACATTACAGCAGTTTTAAGTATAGATAAATCAATTACACAAGGAGAGTAATATGGTATCATTCTAGGTATACAAACTGCAAGCAACAATAACTTGCACACACATTCTTTAGTCTTTGGCTTTTTAAATTCTTTAAGTTAATATTTCCTACTCTCAAAATGAGTTAATGTCAAATACACATAAGGTGAAAACGAATTATTATGCTTATCCTAGTATTCGCCAAAGTATGGTCTACATAAATATTGATTACTGATTTATTAACTCAAACATATGCAAATTAAGGGGTATTTCCCCCATTCTGAAAATTATTGAGATCCATAAAAAACTTGACAAATTAAGAAATCTGATTATTATAGAAGTATTAAAAAGTATTGCTAATGAATACAAATTAGTTTAAGATACACTGAGGAATATTTAATCATAAACACTGCCACAGAAAAATATGAAATAAATTTAACCAATTTAAAATTGGTTAGCATTAAAGTGTATCAAACATGATTAATAATTCAAAAGAGTAATCAATTTCTGAGATTTGAAACATGATGGAATGGAAATATTTCAATTTATTGACTTACTCTCTCTTATGTTATCCCAATTCCATTGATCATTCTTAAAGAAAGGATGCTGTTTGATTTCTTCTACCCCATTTCTCCCAAGTCGTACCTCCCTAAACAATGCAATTAAAGACTGTATTATAAAAAGATTATGAAAAAATTGAAAAAAATAAATTCATATCTTGGGTAAGATCAAAATCACAAATGATTTTCAGATATCGTTATTAAAAGTTTCTGCTTAGATCTTTCTCAAAAACAAGCAATGCTAATTTTACAATATATGATCTCCCTAGATTAAAAGGACTATAAAGTATAGTAAATGCTATGAAAAGTGAAATGTATTTCCATCTGTAGTTTATATCAAGCAAAAGTACACATGAGACTTTCAAATAAAAATATTCACTTGTGTGTGCCAAAACTGCATGACCAGCTCCAGGATGTAAAATGGACAGTGTTAACTTCAGACACAGAAGACTTATTTGAAGTCTCCCCAATAAAAGTGTTATCTTAAAAGTCTCTTCTGGGGCACCTGGATGGTTCAGTTGGCTGAGCATCTGTCTCTTGGTTTGGCTCAGGTCATGATCTCAGGGTCATGAGAATGAACCCAGCATCAGGCTCCGTACTCAGGGCAGAGTCTGCTTGAGATTCTCTCTATCCCCACTATGTTTTCTCTCTCAAATAAATAATTTTTAAAAGTCTTTAATAAAATATTTGTTAAATCTCTTTCAAATAAATTTTTAAAAATCTTTTTTAAAATCTTTAATAAAAAAATCTTTTAAATGTTTTAATTAAGATCTATTCTTAAAAAGAACTATATATTGTTAGAAACTATCTTTACTCTAATAATTGTTATCCCTACATTTATACTAAAATTATCATTCTGAATACAAGAAAAATATTAACAATTTCATTCTCTGACCCTTTGAGAGTTTTCAATGAAGATTTTATAGAAATAAAAAGCATTTTTACATGCCCTTGGAGCCATATTAAATATAAACAGAAAAACCTATAAACTTTAGAGGGAAGTACTACTAGCCATAATGATGGCATTAAATTCTTTTCCAAATATCTTTTCTCTACCTACAATCATTCTTTAGACTGTACCACTACCCCAATAAATTGCTAAGGCAAATCTTTCATGAATGGTAGGTACTCCTTTTATTAACACATGCTATGTCCTGTTTTATATTTTACCTTTCAGCACCAATTATGGTTATCCTTATTAATCCATTTAGTCCCAAATCAAACATTATACAGAATTTACCGAGTTTATCAGCATGGACTGTTTGTTAATCACGTAATTAACAAATCTTATAGTTGATAAACAAAATGATTAACCTCTCTAATGAGAAAAAAATAGCAATAACTTTTCTTGCTTCAAATGGAAAAAAAAATCATGATATTCAGTTTGAGGAGAATAAGGAAAGTAACTGTCATCAATAGAAATATATCCTGCTGTACCTACCCTACAGGTCAATTCTGCAACACCAACTCAATTTTAAAGTGTGTATCCTAGAATTCTTTTAAGACTTTTTCCTACAGAATGTATGCAAGATATAAATGCATGAGAATAGTCAATGTAGCACTGCTTTTGATAGCAACTGGCTGATAAACAATATGGTCTGTTAGCATAGCACTTTCGAGCTAGAAATGCCCTCATCATCAATCTGACCTGATGCCGTTATTTATGAGTAAGTAAAACTTCTCCAAAAAGAAAAATTATTTCCCTAAAATCATAATGCTGGTGAATAAAGTTTGGACTGTGGTGGATGCACCCCCTTATAAAGGTTGGTCCTTTGACAGATTGATTCTTATCACAAATCTGAAAGAACTGAATAGAAAGGCCAAGGAAGAAACTCCAAAGAGTTTCCTATCTTCCCTTTTTGAGGCAGATTTCACAGCGTTGTTTACCTATTTTGTTTTAACAAATATAGAATTTCCAAGGCAGATTACTCATATTCAAATGCAAAAAAAAGGGCTGGGAAGGAGGCACTCCCAAGTCAAATACAAATAGTTTTTGAGATTATAACCTGTCAAGTATGTATCTGCACAAAACACTCGTCTCTCAAAAGTTGTACAGTAAGAGTCAGGTGGCTTAATCACTTCAAAGGATAAAATGTGAATAATACAAGTTTTATTTCTCTCAAATGCATTATCTTACCAAGTTCTATTTTTTCTTTGTAGCCATGAAGGTAGGCTTAGAGTTAGATTACAATGGGGTTGCACACCCATAATGACGAGAGTAACTCAACACCAGGCCTACCAGTAGGAAATGGCTAATCCAGAATTAAAAGCAATTTGGATAAAGAGAAAGAGATTTCATGTGTAAATAAAAGCTATGCTTTCATTTCTACAAATTTAAAAGTTAAAGGCTCTCTACAAAGAAATTCAATGTATATTACCTATCTGTTAAGAAGGCGCAAATGAGATTCTTCGCATGTTTAGAAATTTCTGCATCTTCAGGGAAACACAGTGAGTTTTTATGATCCATAATTTTGCTATAAGTTCCTACAAGTGAATCTGCATAAAATGGAGTATCCCCTAAAATTCCAAGAAAGAAGACACTGAGTGTAACAGAGAATGCAAATTAAAGACTTTTCAACTATTATTTAAATATGTTAGGTTTAAATTTGTCACATGCATGGAAGAACAAGTAATCTATGGGCCAGGAGTCTCAGTCCAAACACATCAGAACATACCAAGAATGTGAATGTATTTAAATTTTAATCATACCAATGAACTATCAACTCTTAAAAGCAAAATAAAATCAATGCTAACTCTAGAATTTGTTGTTGCTTTTACAATGGGAAACAAAATAACTCACTGGATAATTAAATAAAAAGATTACTAATACTAAGTAGGATCAGATAGATCAGAGTCCTCTAATGCTTGAGCTGGATCAATCTCTTTTTTGAGATTACTCTCTAGAGCTGTGTTATACAATGCAGTAGCCACTAGCTACACGTGGCAATTTAAAATTAAAATAAAAATTTCAGTTCTTTAGTCACACTAGCCACATTTCAAGAACTCAGTGTGGCCAGTGCCCACCATACGGGACTGTACAGACATAAACCATTTTTATTATGATAAACTGGACAGTGAAGCTCTAAGAGTTAGACCAGCCCTATTATTTCACATGTGATTTGCCGAAGATGACACATAGCTAGAATTGAAAATGGCATAAATGGTCTCCCAAGTGCAGTGTTCTTGCAAACTGATGGCTAAGATAAAGAGGCAGTGAAATGTAAATAAAGACAGAAAAAGCTGAAGGCACCATCTTGGCCACTACTCATCTAAAAGCCAAAAGAATCAAAGGCCCTGCCAGTATGATTCGACTATAAGTTACCTTAGTACAAACCAGAATTTCTCAAATCAGACAATCCAAAAATTTCAAAAGGGGTGTTCAGGTAGTTTCTGTTTGTCTTCAAAGAGGGCAAAGGAGTGCTTTGAACTCAAGATTTTTCTAGTGCCATTTTTAACTGCAGTAGAGCTTTTAAATGAAGTCCAGTGCTAACCAACCTGAGCAAGCACCAGATTAGGCTCAGAATACTGTAAATTAGTGTCATTCAAAGTCATTAAATTCAACTCAAGAGTTGGAAACAGTAGCAGGAATTTAAATGGTTCCTTCAAAGGAGCTATGTGACTTTCTCCAAATATTATTATTTTCTAAATTCCTGGAGAGTCTAGGTAAATTATAGACTATATTCTACTTTAAGAAGATTACAAAAGATATACCTAATGTATCATCAGATTGGGCCAGAGGTGGGGAGAATGGAGCTACCTGGAACACAGCCTGCATATAGAGATGTACTACAAAAATAAAGGCCCAAAACAACGTAGGTCATACTATGTCTTCAGTTTAAGCATAACAAGATCAATACTACATACACAGAATGGTCACCAAGAGAAGGCAATTTATGCCACAAAAACATTCCATGACTAATTATTATTTAAATATACCAGAAAGTTCTGGGTTTTTTTAAAGAAATAATAATAATAATCATACAGATTTTACAGATTTTCCACTACTAATTTTTTTAGGGTCCTCCTCTAGAAAATAAATTCTCCAATTTCTAAAAATAATTTTCAACTTTAAAGTTGTTTCATATAATGTTATTAGCCTTATCACACTTGCCTCAGAAAACAGATTTCGCTATATCTGTCCTCATTCCCAAGCCAGATGATTCAGTCATTGGCTTCCGTAGCCAGAAGATATTTTTGTGACCTCATAACTTAGGAAAGGGAAATATTAAGAATAAAATCTATTACGTAAAGAAAAGTTTTGAAATACCTGAACCTTTCAAATTTTGATTTGTGCAAAGTAAAATAGTTAAATTTGCTTCTGAGTTTTTTGATAATGAAATATAATTATAGAATACTTTTACCAATAATCAAATGGTCAATAACTATGATTTATTTTACTAGAATGAAAACCATATGTAAATGCAAGTAATAAACAGAAGAAATACAGTTGACAAAAGTCAATTATATAATGTAATTACAAAAACTAAAGAATACTTTTAGTTCTCTATTATTGGAACAAATATTAACAACCTTATACTTAAATATTTACAACAAATACGATTGATCAAGAAAGTCTTAGAGGCCCACAGCACCAGTAAACTTGCTTCTTGCTCTAACATTTTCTTCATACAAAAAGGCCTACTGAAGGATTGTTTCCTATCAATATACTTTTATTCCTTTTATATTCCACTATATCACTGTGCCAGTACAACTTGGCTTTAATTTTCCAGTTAATAATCTGTCATATATGATACAACTAATTCAAAGTTTTAAAAAATCCTACTTCTTTCATGGGACACAATTAATTTCCTTATATTCTCAAATTCTTGATGTAAAACTAATGTTATGAGAGAGAGATTTTGAAAAAAGAACTAGTTAAAATATTTACTTACCCACCAGCATCTCAAAAAGGAAAACACCCACCGACCACCAATCACATTCTCGCCCATAGTAACCATCACCCCCTTGTGATTTGAGAACCTCAGGTGAAATATAATCAGGTGTTCCAACTGCTGTATCACAATGCACCATGCCTGTCTGGTAAAAAGCAAAGATAAAGAAAAACAGTTGCATGTAAAAACATACATATATAAATGCAACTAATTCATTTATTACTATATAAATAGTAACTACAAATTGCTACCAAAAGAACTTCATTGCTGATAACTTTGGGAGGACCGGAGATAAGTGTATTACGAAGTGCCTTAAAGTGTCCAGATTACAAGAAATCAGGGATAATTTTTCAACTCTAAAATACAGAAGGCTTCATCAATGGAAGAAGGAAAAAGTGGTAAACTCCACAGGAATTTCAAACAAATCAACATCTTTTGTTTCTTTCTTACACTACTAAGTAGTTGCAAGGGAAGTACAAAATGTGATCTTAAAGTAGTGATCTGGGGAAAGAATTAAGAGAGAAAGGAAAAATTGTTTTCAAAAGAAACTGTAATTGGGCAGCCGGAGTGGCTCAGCAGTTTAGCACCGCCTCCTGCCCAGGGCCTGATCCTGGAGACCCGGGATAGAGTCCCTTGCTGGGCTCCCTGCTTGGAGCCTGCTTCTCCCTCTGCCTGTGTCTCTGCCTGCCTCTGTCTCTCTCTGTCCCTCATGAATAAATAAATAAAATCTTAAAAAAAAAAAAAAAAAGAGGGCAGCCCTGGTGGCACAGAGGTTTAGCGCCGCCTGCAGCCCAGGGCGTGATCCTGGAGACCTGGGATCGAGTCCCATGTCAGGCTCTCTGTATGGTGCCTGCTTCTCCCTCTACCTGTGTCTCTGCCTCTCTCTCTGTCTCTATGAATAAATAAATAAAATCTTAAAAAAATAAAAATAAAAAAATAAAAAAATTGTAATTAAGATTACAGAGAGCCTAGTTTGGAGGCTGGATAAACCAACAGTTATTATTTTTTTTAATCAAAGATTTTTATTTATTTATTTATGAGAGACACAGAGAGAGGCCAGGACATACAAGGAGAAGCAGGCTCCTCGCAGGGAGCCAGATGCAGCTTGATTTCGGGGCTCTATCCCTGGACAGGGATCACACCCTAAGCCAAAGGCAGACAGATGCTCAACCACAGAGTCACCCAGATGTCCCCAAACAGTTATTATATTAAGAAAAAAAAATGTTAACTCTGAAATAATTTTGTGTCCCCTACAGTTGAACAAGTAAATATACTGTAGATAATGAGATCCAGATTTCTCACTAACTACAAAAGAAATTACAAAAAAAGGGAAGAAGACTAGAATGAACCCTGTGGTATAGGACAAGAATTAGAAGTATCAGTATGAACTCATAATTTTTAATACCCTATATATACAGACAGGTAAGTCCAGAACTAAACATGAACATGTGTGTGCAAATGGACTAGCACATATAGTAGATTCATGATACATGTGTCTGCTGACAAGGCCTAGAAATAATGGTACTTGAGGAGCAATAAGCATATCTAGTGTTCAAATACTGATTTCTAAATACCATTCTTGAATAAAAGAACTCTGGGGGCACCTGGGTGGCTCAGTTGGTTGAGAGTCTGTCTGCCTTTGGCTCAACTCATGATCTCAGGGTCCTGGGACAGAGTCCTGAAATAGAGCCCTGCGTTAGGCTCCTGCCTTGGGAGGGACTCTGTTTCTTCCTCTGCTGCCTTCCCACCCTGCCCACTCATGCTCTCTCTCTGTCAAGGAAATAAATAAAAATCTTAAAAGAAAAAAAAAAAAACCTTTAAAAAAAATGTTTCTTGGAGAAGTGGCTGATTCCAAAGCTGGGACAAATAAAATAAAAGACAAGTAAGTCTTCAACAACTTATAGTGTTAAAAAATAAGAAAATGATCTAAAAAGAGGGCATATCTAAAGGACATAAGCAGTCAACCTAAGGAGCCAAGATAAGCAAGCTCTACACTGAGTTTTAAGGTATGAGTAGGAATCTGCCAAGTAAACTGTATTCAACAACATATCTGAAGTCCAAGAATCATGAAATTGAATTCATTGCATAAAAACTACATGTAATTTGAGACCCGTGAGCCATATGGCACAAAAGGTCAAATGATAAAGAATGAGGGTGAAACAGAGGGATCATATGACAAGCTAAGGAATTTGAACTTTCCTCAACAGATGACAAATCTACAGAAGGGTTTTAACAGGAGAGCAACATAAAGAGGTAATAAGCATCTTCAAAAGCTTCCTCATGGGTACTTTAAATGATTAAGATTAAATGTTTATTTGCTAAAATATATCTGGTGTTCTATAATGGGCAAAATATTATAAATGGAGAGATTTAATGAAAACACAAAACAGGTCAATCATAAATCTTGAGGTTGTCCAAAAGACACTATTCTAAATGCTTCCTGTGAAAGCGGAAAAAAAATTGTAACTGGAATTCTTAATTATCAGAGAAGCATTAGGAGCCTCAGCTTGACTGCTACCCAGGCAGGAGTCAGTTCATTTTAATGATTAAGGATGCAGGGGCTAGCAGTAAGGGGTTCCTTTCTCAAACAGGCATATCCTTCATCTTATAAAAATCTCAGCTAGTGCTAAGTCCTGCTTCTTCTTTGTTCTATCTAAAAAACAGTCCAACGGGTTTAGAAGTCCTTGTCCATTTGCACTGTACCGTGCCCAAGGCACAAAAAGCTGCCTGTAATTCTAGTTATCTCCTGGGGTAGCAATTATTACTTTTATTAGGGCTGTGGTTAAAAAGCTCATAGTTTTTTAATGGTCTTTCCCTGTTGCTCCCATAAACCAGTTCTTTTCGATGTATAATTTTGCAGAAAATAGGGTATTTTTTTTTTCCAGAAACACAAGTAGAAATGTCTCCATTTTACAACCTGGTGTCACCTGTAGAAGGGTTGGAACATTAACAACTTACCAATTCACTTTAAAAGAAGTACAGCCTCAATTTAATCAAATAGTATACATTAGAATATTAAGGAATAAAACTTTATATTATTTTAAGGTAACCTAAAATAGTAACATAAAATGTGCCCTAAAAGGTATTAAAGGTGGGGACGCCTGGGTGGCTCAGTAGTTGAGCACCTGCCTTCGGCCCAGGACATGATCCTAGAGTCCCAGGATCAAGTCCCACATCAGGCTCCCTGCATGAAGCCTGTCTCTGTCTCTGTCTCTCTCTGGTCTCTCATGAATAAATAAAATCTTTTTTTTAAAAAAAAAGGTGGTAAGGGTGGCTATGAAATGCATAATGACAAGCAAAGACAAAACTCTATTTACCTAATTAAGCAAGCAATTTTAAATAGCAGTACTTCTTGGCTATCACTGAGACACATTTATATGTAAATATACTACACTGTGACACTCACTCATATCTACATATTTTTTTTCAGAAAGAAAAAGAATAGCAGCATTTAGGAAACTAAAATAAAACCACAATTTATTAATGAGAGAACTTACTGACATAAACCAGTACTCTTAATTAAATGTAATAGTAACAAATTATTTTAGTCCTTGTAGGTAATAATTTTTAGTTGTATTTTATTTTTGCATTTATTCACAGCCAGAAGAGCTAAAAAGTAATTTGAGAACTCTGTCTATATTGTAGATAAAGGATTAGGAAACTTTTCTATAAAAGGCCAGGAAATATTTTAGTGATATTTAGTAAGTACTTTAGGGTTTGTGGGCACATATCTTCTGTTTTTTTAAACCATCTTTTAAAAATGGACATTTTCAGTACAGGAGCTATACAAAACCAAGCCACAGGTCAGATCTGGCCCTGCACTCCAGTTTGCTGATCTCTTCTACGATATGTAGATGAATGAGAACAAGACTAGAACATTTCTAACAGCTTTGAGACCATAACAATAATCAAACCAAGGCCAATAATGTGATGAACTAGAAACTTGCAATAGTACTATTCACATTAACAGTTAACATAACAAAATTATAAATTCTATGTACTATAGCTTTTAATTAAAAAAAAAACCTTTGTGGGATCCCTGGGTGGCGCAGCAGTTTGGCGCCTGTCTTTGGCCCGGGGCGCGATCATGGAGACCCGGGATCGAATCCCACATCGGGCTCCCGGCGTATGGAGCCTGCTTCTCCCTCTGCCTGTGTCTCTGCCTCTCTCTCTCTCTCTCTCTCTGTGACTATCATAAGTAAATAAAAAAAAAAATAAAAAAATAAAAAAAATAAAAAATAAAAAAAACCTTTGTTCTTCAACAGAGTTGTTCTCATCATTAGTATTACAGAATAGAGGTCTTGGGTATAACAACATTTTTTAAACTACAGCATTTATTTATTTATTTAAACTTCAGTATTTAAAAAATATATATATTTACATCAAAATTAAGAATTGCTGTTCAAACAGACACAAATGCATAGCTAACATGAGCATTATCTGTGGAATCACTACTGAGATTATATAAGGAATAACTGCACATCAACACGTTGGTTTTAAAAAGGTTAAAAGATACACAAGTAATTTATGAGATAAAGGACTGACAATTATATGAAAAAAGTTTGACATCATTAATTATAAAATTTTTAAAAACTATTACCTTACATCAATGGAATTGGTAAGACTTAGAGAATGAATAATAGGAAAGTTGAGTAAGAACATGGAGAGAGACACGATCTCTAATGCACTCAACTGTTAACAAGAGGTTATAACATTTACAGCCATTCTGGAGATCAGTAATACTTTACTAATGTATCTTCTTTTTTTTTTTAATTTTTATTTATTTATGATAGTCACACACACAGAGAGAGGCAGAGACACAGGCAGAGGGAGAAGCAGGCTCCATGCACCGGGAGCCCGACGTGGGATTCGATCCCGGGTCTCCAGGATCGCGCCCTGGGCCAAAGGCAGGCGCCAAACCGCTGCGCCACCCAGGGATCCCCTAATGTATCTTCTAAGTCAGAAGTCCCACGTATAAGTGTATATTTAGAGGAAACCCTTGTCTGAACACACATGGGACATGTCTGAAGATATTCAACATCAGTGTTTAACTACATTCAACACAGTACTCTTGGTAGCAGGTTGCTGATGTGGCCTAGGAATCCAACACAAGGAGGAATAAGTAAAACTACTAGATAGATCCTATGGAACACTGTGATGGAATGAGCTAATTTACATATATCAGAATAGATACAAAACAATGTTGAGTGAAAAGAAGTAAAAAAAAAATGACATCTATATTATACTATTTCTAATTTATACACATGTACGTTAAATTAATAGCCTGCAAGAGCTTATAGTAAAAACATGACAGTAGCTGTCTATTAGGGAAAGAGAAAATGAGACTGAAATGAAAAGGGGGAAAATATCATAAAATAACTAGATGAAGTCTTTCTGTTGACTACTAATGACAATAAGTGATGAACCAAGCAGGATTATTAGCTGAGCTATATGTACTTGAAAAAATAGCAAATAAAATTATATAAGCCACATTTTACGTTGTCTTATAAAGAGACAATGTAAGAGATTTAAATTGCTAAATTTAGTATTTACTTATATGCTTATAAAATTATTCTAGAAAAACCATATTCTGTCCTGTTCCTCACACTCTATACCCTTTTCTCCCTAACCATCATTACCTACCCTAAAAACATACAGTGTGACTTACTTCTCTACATCCTCCCAAAAGTTTTTGATTTAATTAAAATCAGAATACACTCATGGAACCACAGCACATAAACATCACTCATTATGCACAAGAGACATAAAAAAAAGTTTAGCATTCTATTAGAAAATTATTTTATACTGTATTTTAATTAAAGATAATTTTTACAAAAAATAAAAAAATAAAGATAATTTTTACTATTAACCATTTCACACTGTAGTATGATAAACACCACAAGAGGGAGCTTTAGGGACAAATGCTCTATTAAACACTGACTGATGAATGCAGAACATGGACACAGTGACATATACATGAAGAAGACCAAAGAAGAAAGGATTGTTAAGTTTTACTTGAGCAAACACAGCATACAAACCTAGATACATGAAAACAGCCTATGAACACAGCACAAATTCTAAATAACTAAAAATATTACCAGAGTGATTATTAGATTATAGTGATTATTATTATTATAGGAGAGTCAGATTAGGATTATCAGGAAGAACTTTCCAAATGAGGTAAAATCTGAGTTGAGCTTGGAAGAATACAGAATGCTGATGAAGACAGTATGATTTATAAAAGCATCACATGGGTGACATGAATAGAGGTAAAGAGAAAAGAAAATCAACTTAATTAAAAATAAACATCTTGATAAGATATAAAACAAGACAAAATCAGAGAGGGAGACAAATCATAAGAGACTCAATCACAGGAAACAAACTGAGGGTCACTGGAGAGGAGGAGGGTTGGGGGATGGGGTCACTGGGTGATGGGACGTTAAGGAGGGCACGTGATATGATGAGCACCAGGTGCTGTATTAGACTGATGAATCACTAACCTCTATCTCTGAAACCACTAATACATTATATGTTAATTAACTGAATGTAAACAAAAAATGTTTTACAAAGTTAATTTTTTACAAAGTTAAAAAAAAGGTATTTTTGTTAAGAAATACGATTAGATATATAAGCACACTGGAAGGTTATAAAAACCACACAAAAAATATCTAGTTTGCTGTCAACATAATTAACATTTAGAAAGTCTGATACATGTAAGTTACCCTCCAGATCCAACAGGGAAACAAAAAAATAAAAAATAAAAAAATAAAAATAAAATGATTCTCCCCATCAGGAATTACTGCCAGAAATTATATATAGTATACTTACAGAGAAAAAGGTGAGAGATATAAATTTTGAAACAAAAATAAATCAACATCATAACTGGCTGTGAGGTTAAAACTACTGAATCTATTAATTATAATGTGAATTGTTCAACAGGTAAAGTACACAATAGATGATGGCCTTAAATTTACTCGATATGGTTGATGCAGATAGGGTTGGTAGCAGACAGTATAACATAAACTTCTTACCTCATTTTTTTAAAGGAAAAATACAGAAATAATGGTGATGGACATAATATTCATGTACCTTTAATTCATATTTTGTGTCCTATTCTTCACCTGGATCATTTTGCACATGAACTAGTTTTAATTGATAGCAATTACCTGTCACCATTCTATGGGGAGATATATAAGTTATCTGTATCTGTATGTCCCTTATATTTGCCACATCTAGTACTATATAAGAAATAAAGCACTGTGCAGCTAGATGAATGATCAGTAAAAAAAAAAAAAAAAAAAAAAGTTTTATTTTGTTTAAGTCACTACACAGCAAAACTAAATTTATCTTTGTTTAAAACTATAAAGTCGAGATTTGAAGTTTCTTTTATTTTTGTTTTTAAAAACTAGCATTTTTCTTTTTTTACTTATTACTTACTTCATCCATCTTCATACATGTGCCAAAATCTGCTAACTTTAGATGTCCATGTTTATCCAAGAGCATGTTGTCAGGCTTTACATCTCTGTGAATTAAGCCCATGGAGTGTATGGCATCCAGAGCAAGAACAACTTCAGCAGTATAGAATTTGGCCCATTTTTCAGGCACGTCATAGTTACTCATAAGGTTTACAAGATCTCCACCAGGCATGTACTCCATTACCATGTACAGATACTTATCATCTTGAAAAGCACAAAAGAGCTGTAAAACAAAACAAGAAGAGAAAAAAAAAGTTTTTAGGAAAGAAAGAAAATCAAAAGTTTAAATGGGACAAAATCCAAAACAATTATTACTATTGAAAAATACAAGGTATTTTACAACCAAAAGAATTTTGGTTGAATTTTATGAAATCTTTGATTTTAGATTTGGACATCCCTAATGGAAAACAGGTATGAGACAAAACTTTTTATATGGTTACTTCTGCATGCTGACAAAATATACACAAGTGAATCATTTTCTTTCTTAGAAAACACAAGAATCTATTTAAATAGAGATATTTTAAAAGAGAAACAGAATGAGGGACATAAAAGGTGAAAGAATGACAGAAGAATTCATAGTTTTTATTTTTTTTAATTTATTTATGATAGTCACAGAGAGAGAGAGAGAGAGAGAGAAAGAGAGAGAGAGGCAGAGACACAGGCAGAGGGAGAAGCAGGCTCCATGCACCGGGAGCCCGAAGTGGGATTCGATCCCGGATCTCCAGGATTGCGCCCTGGGCCAAAGGCAGGCGCCAACCCGCTGCGCCACCCAGGGATCCCGAATTCATAGTTTTAAAAAAAAAACAGCTTTCTGAAAACCAAGCTACTGCACGTAATTTACAAAGAAGAAAGCTGAAGAGGTAGGAGCAGTTGAGAAAAATTTAAATGATACCACATTCAATGGCTGTAAGCAGAGGGAGTAAGCACCAGAGCACTGTACAAGAGTGAGTCCCTGGTGAACACATCTACAACAGGGCCTGTTCCTCTCCTATCCCCTATCATCTTGTTAATAAGCAGCAAGGGGCAGTGCTACTGGAACCCAGACTAAAGCAGTGACATTGGGACCAGAGAAAAAACACCAAGCTAAATTGCTACTGACCCCCCCCCCAGATGCATAGGAACCACAAATTTATAAGTTATTTGTACATTCCCCCCAACATATCTCAAACCACACCCTTGAAGCAAGCAATGCAAACAGGAAAGGTTTCTACAAACTCATAGGGAAAACAGAACAAAACCAAGAACTTACACTCAAATAAAAAGAATCCCTACAAATCAGTTATTTTAAATCAACAGATGAAGAATTAAGCAGGTATTTCACAAAAAAAAAAAGATATTCAAAGATGAAAAGGTATGAAATGTCATTAGAGAAAGATGAATTTAAACTACTCTGAGACACCGATCTGCATGCACAAAAATGACCAAAAATTTTAAAACTGATAATACCAAGTGCTGACAAGGACCAAGGGAACTTATAAACTAAACTTCTATAACCACATTGAAAAAGAAGCTGTCACCACCTACTGAGATTGATTTAAGTACCCCAAAATGCCATTCCTAGGAATAAACCCAACAGAAATAAGTACAAGAACACTTACATTATTTGTAACAAAATTTTGAAATATACCAACAAATTATGGTAAATACATATAATGGAATAAAACACAGCAATGAAATTAATAAATTATAGCAATGTAGATCACTCATGCCAATATAATGTTGAACAAAAAAGCTAGATACAAAAGAAGAGAGATATTCAGTGATACCACATATAAAGTTCAATAAGAAAAAAAAAAAAGTTCAATAAGCAGGAAAACTATAGGCCCTGAGTGCTGATTTAGGTGGTACACTCAAAAGAAAAGCCAGGAAATGATTACCAATAAAGGCAGAAGAGTGGCTATTCTGGGAGGAACATATAAATGCAGTGATTGGGAAAGAGTACAAGAGAACCTCTGGACTTATTATGGCAATGTTTATTTTTTGACCTGGGTAGTGAATACATGGGTGTTTGCTTTGTGATAAATCTTTCTGCACTTGTTTTACGTATTTATGTGTATATCATAAATAAAATCATTTTTTTTAAAAAAAGCATGATAAAACTAAAGCAGAACTCAAGAAGAAACTTTATAACTTCAAATGCATTTATAGGTATCTCTCTTTATCCTTTCACTATCCAATATTTAAAAAGATACCTGCATTGGAAAATAAAGACAACAAAAATTAGGCACATAAAGAAACTAGAAAAGAACAATATAAACCCACGAAAACAAAGCTAAGAAATTTTTTTAAAAGAAGAAAATAATTAAAAAGAAAAGCAAAAAAAAAGGTGTTATTTTGTAAATAAACAAAAAAATCTTAACACTAAAAAATTTACATAGACTCAACAGATAAATAAAAACTTGAATTAGTCAAAAATCAAGTGGGAAAATAAGAGGTTGATAGAAGATCTAATCAGGAAAGAAATGGAGGGATTGAGTACAGTAAAACAATACACTGAGTTTTAGGACAGCAGCTATCTTTCAGAAGGAAAAAAGGGAGAAAAGACTGGGTAGGAGTACATCAAGTATTTCAAGGATTCTTGTAATGTTTTCAAAATTAAAAGATTAAAATTAACAATGGAAAAATGTTAAAATTTGCTAAATGTATGTAAGACAAAGAACGTTTCCAGATGGCTTATTTATTAGGCAAGCAAGAACAGATATTTACCAATGGTGAATTTAGTTGTGTTTGATTGCATCAGCTGAAGAAATTCGTCTAGAGAAAACTCAACGCAAGACTGTCTTTCAAAAACAGCTGCTCAAAGAGTTGAGGACACTGGTGGCAATATCAGTAGTCAATTTAAAAACAAGGCGAATAATTTTGAGTGGTTTTCCTCGGCTCTTGATGAGCCAACAGATGTTACTAATACCATGCAGTCATTACCCGTTACTGGAGAAGTGCCAAGTTTGATGTGAGTAAAGAATTAGCCCCTATAAACAGTCTGCACAGATGAACTACAGGCAAAAACAGTTTCAAAGAAGTTGAGAAAACACTAATTGAGTACAACCTGAGCTAGAATTTGGTAAGGTGTGTTAACAAACGATGGTGGTAAAAATATATGTGGAACAGAAAAAGGCTTCACTGGATTAATTTACAAAGCTTGTGAAAATGTGTGATACTTAAAATCTGTTTATTCTCTGTAATACCGATCAATAAGTACTCAGTGGAAAATATATTTGAATCTCTCGTGTAATAAATAAATGAGCAGTATTAATGGTTGCTATTTGCTCTTGTGGACTTAACAACTATCATTATCTGTTCTGTGAATTTTTTGTCAGAAATAGATGCTGAATATCCTCACTCTACCACACAGCAGTTCAGTGGCTTGGCACTGGTAAAATTTCATTGCAATCTTAGAGCTGAGAATGAAATCTGTCCGATCAAGACCACTCTCAACTACTACTATGGAACACTGAAAGGCTTTCTAAATTAGTTTTAGTAGCAGGCTTGATAACTTTCTTAATTAACATTTCTTAATTAATACAACCTAAAATGACAAGGTAAATAGCACTTATATGCAAAACTTACACTTTTTAAAAATTTATTTATTTATTTTAGAGAGAGAGTAGGTGCAAGCAAAAGAGAGCACGCAAAGGGGAAAGAGCAGAAGGAGAAGGAGAGAGAACCCCAAGCAGACTCCCCACTGAACATGGAGCTGGAGGCAGGGCTCAATCCTATCATCCTGAGATCATGACCCCAGCCAAAACCTAGAGTCAACGCTTAACTGACTGAGCCAAGGCACCCCATAAAATTTAAATTTTTAATGACAACATCAAACATCAAACTTTTTATGCTTTCCATGCTATCAAAATCAGAAGTGAGATTTCCACTTCTATACAAACTGGCAATGGATGTATTTTCTGAGCTCAAACTACAGTCCCACAGTTCCAACAGCATTTTTCTGACCTGAATGTAAGTGTAAAGCAAATATCCATGTTTCAAAAATCCATTAAACTCTGCCATTGAGAGGGTCTAGTTAAGAGTCTGCCTTTGGCTCAGGTTATGATCCCAGGGTCCTGGGATCAAGCCCTGAGTCAGGCTCTCTGCTCAGCAGGGAGTCTGCGTCTTCCTCTCCTCCTGCCTGGTGGGGGGGGGGGGAAGGAAGGAAGGAAGGATGGAAGGAAGGAAGGAAGGAAGGGAGGGAGGGAGGGAGACAGACAGACAGACATCAGTGAAAAGACTGGCCCCCTACCAAATACCAAAATATATGAAAAACTACAGAAATTTAAACAATGTTATTTTAGTGCAGGAAGAAATAACAAATCAAATTAATAGAACAGAGTTAAAAGAAATTCATGTGTATATGGTAAGTTAGTATATGATAATAAAGAACATTTCATTTACTTCATGGGAAAAAGACAGGCTTTTCTATAAACAGCATTGGGAAAAATGGCTGCCTATTTGGGAAAAACAAATCTTACTTCATATAAAAATATAAGTTCCTAATGACTCAGACTCCTGCCCCTCCCAAAATTAAAATATAAAAAAGTGAAAGTATAAAAGAATGTTTTCATAATACTGGGCTAGAGAAGGTATTCCCCAGCAAGAATCAAAATATAGTATAAACAGAATTGATTAGATCTATATTTAAAAACTCAGTAAGGAACAGACAAATATCAGTCCAAGAGAATAGATTTCCAACATATGTAACACAGGATTAATATACAAGGTCTATCAGTATTCTAATAAATAAATTTTTAAAAAGCAAAACAACACATAGAAAAATGGGATAAGCAATGAAGGAATACAAATTACTAACAAGCATATGAAGTGTCCTGAACCTCAGAATTAACCAAGAAAATGCAACCTAGCACAGTAACATCTTTTTTTACTTGAGGATGCAACCAACAAAAATTTTAAATAACTACAATATCCAGTATCGGCTAAAAATGTAGTGAAATAAAAATGATAAACAATTAGAGTAATATAGACTTGTTAAAATCTTTTTTCTTTTTTTTTTAAATCTTTTTTCTACACAGCAATTTGGCACTATCAAAATGTCAAATGTGCACACTATATGACCTAGTAGATCCAATGCTAGGAATCTATTCTAAGGAAATATTCACATGCGTATAAAAGATGGACCTAAAGCACAATTAATCCACCATGTCAAGGACAGAAAATGTACAAGATTGGTCTGGAACATCCCATTATATCAGAGAGTAAGTATCAAAGGCTGCTACATCTATGTCCAAAGGACTCAGGAACCAACCTGAACAGGATGTCATTTGCCAAAGGTGTCACAATTTGAGCATCAATAAGATACTCAAAGGACTAAAACACATCAAAATATGTTTTAAGTCTGTTAAGTTCAACTGGTAACTCCCCCTAAAACTGTTCACCTTTAAGGATAAAAGGAAATTAATTCCTTACTTTGAAAACTAGTAAACACATGGAAAGAATAATTTATCCTGTCCCTCTGTGAATTGTACTACTGGGTAACCAAATAGTAAATGGGGAATATTTTCTTTATAGAAATATTCCAGTCACTATAATAAAAAAGGATGACTCAGGGTTAGGGTGTAAGGAATGACTAAATTGGAATTTCACCATTTTTAAAATCCCTAATAAATTAATGGACCTGGGATTTATGCACAAATAGCTAGTAAAATAACAGAGAATTAAGCAGACATTAGCTTCCTAATAGAACAAAACACTACCCGTGAAGTTGTCCTGACACTCTCCCAAAAATCACACCTGATTCTGATCCTCTATCTCCAGTTAGCAACTCAAAAAATACAAACAAGAGAGGAACACGTTAAACTACACAAGGATGTAATCAGCAAAAGCCAGGTTTCTTCAACAAATAAACTCATGAGACAAAAAGGAAAACAGGAAGGAAACTAGATTGAGAGGATTAAAGAAGATACCTAAACTTAAATTTTAAAAAAAGCTAAAAGTAGGGATGCGTGGGTGGCTCATGGGTTGAGCTCCTGCCTTTGGCTCAGGGCGTGGTCCCAGAGTTCTGGGATGGAGTCCGCCATCAGGCTCCCTGTGGGGAGCCTGCTTCTCCCTCTGCCTATGTCTCTCTCTGTGTCTCTCTCATAAATAAACTCTTTACAAAAAAAAAAAAAATCTAAAAGTAAACTGGAAGTATTCAAGGGTACACACCTACTTGGGTATATGAAACTGTACAGAAAAGTAAGGAGGTGTTCACCATGAAAGTATGGACATTAGAAAAACAGGCAATACAGCAAACTGAATATAATAGATGGCTTTAAAAAAAGTCTTCTCTATCAGTAAATAAGTTTTTTAAATGCGCCAATATTCATCTATGGAATTCAAATCACACTAAGAATGTATCTTATGTGTCAAATACGATAGGTCAAAAATTTATGTTGTATCATAATTTATGTAAGAAAGATAAGAGCCATCTCCAAAAAGAGTACTGTAACAAAGTATGAGGGCCTTCATCCGTTTAAATATTGAACAGTCACAAAAAAATAAGCACTGAGATTTGGTAAACTGTTAGGAATAATCTACCAAAATTGATTACAGGCATATCCTATAACCCATTAATTTCACTGCAAGGTACAGATCCCTAACACAAATGTGTGAACATATGTACCAAAATCCATGTGAAAGAATTCATAGCAGCATTATTCACAATAGCCAAAAAATAGAAACAACCTAGGTGCCTATTAATTGATGAACAAATAAAATGTGGGATATCTATACAACAGACGATTATTCAGACATAAAAAGAAATGAAGGGCTGATACATGCTATACCATGAATGAATACTGAAAACATTATGCTAAATGAAAGAAGATATCACAAAAGATCACATATTGTATGATCCCATTTACACGAAATACCCTTAATAGGCAAATCCACATACACAGAAAGCAGATTAGTGGTTGCCAGGAGTTGAAGTCAGGGAGGATTAGAGAATAAATGCCAATTGATTCTGGGTTTCTTTTTTGAGGCACCAAAATGTTCTATAAATATATTGAAGCTTTAAAAATATACTAATATAAATACAGTGAAACTCTATAAATATATTGAAAAATCACTAAATTAAATCAATAAATAGAAATAAGTCAGTCATTTTGACAAGTTTCCCCACAAAGTTATACATTTCAAACATACAAATACAATGATGGTGCATGGAATATCCTTTACCATAGAGATAAACAAATGAAAACCAGAATTATAATGTTATTTTTTCAATTTACAATGTTTCACTGTTGACAGGCTTCTAAAGATCCATTAACTCTTTATCTCAATGAAGACTTTATAAAGGTCCACTTAGCCGAATTAAAGATCAAATACATCAGTGTATGAAACTATAAACTAGAAAAGGCAATGATTCTTTACTATGAAAGCAATTTAAAGCTAAAAGTGGAATAATTTATTACCACCATTCCTTAATTAAATTATCATGATATATAATTTGCTACAAAAACCTTAGTTTTAGCTACACATATCAGAACTTTTATTCACTAGCAACAATAAAAAAAATTAAGTAGAGAGAAAGCACTGGGGCTCAACATCATTAAAAAAGTAATAGTGAACTTTTAAATTGCATAGTCATCTATGTGGCAAATTTTTTACCTGCAAATTGCCTTCCACAAGCAAGATTATCAAACCCTCAAATCATTTAAGGTAACATTCTGAACATGCATTGGTACATCTCTAATCTTATGATATTTGTTCAAAAATGTGTGCAGAATTAGGTATTAGTATAAATACACCTTCAGAGAAGCAAAGTTATTGAGGGGTATAATTGAAAGGGACGTAAGATACAACCATAAATTCCTTACTTTACAGTCAAGAGGCTGAATTAGGAAGCACAATACTGTCTTATAGGTAATATATAAATGACTATGGGAAAATTTTCAAAATTTTTATTGTAGGAAGTTTTGGGTTTTTTGAGACAGGCTTATTATTGTTCCTATTATGTAAATCACAAGAGAGTGTAGGCAGGGAATAGCAGCATACTGGTAACCAATCAAATTGTTCATAAAGGAATTTTTTAAAAGTTGCAAATACTTGCTTTCATACACCATTTAAGTATTACATGTCATGTCTATATGACATACTATTTAGGAACATTAAACAAGTATATTGAATCCAAGCTTAGTAAAAATGACTGCGTTGTTACTATGTGAGTTATAGGACTTTATGAATGATAAACACAATAAAGGGAAATAAACTGAGCACTGGGTGTTGTTATACTATATGTTGGCAAATTGAATTTTAATTAAAAAAGGGGGGGGAAATAAATTTGTAAAAGTCTGTGTGCTTACCTGAACCACCCAGGGACTGTTGGCAAAGGCCATAATATCTCTCTCTTCCCAGAAAAAAGCAGAATCTGATCTTTTTATCATTTCAAACTTACTAAGAAGCTTCATAGCATACACCTTCTGTGATGCCTTATGACGAACCTGCAGATTTTTTAAAACATGAAAATAATTTTGTGAGAGAAAGGTAAACAATGGATCATACTATATTCTATTATTAAGATTTTAGTTATTAAAAAAAAGATTTTAGTTATAAAACAAAATGATGTTTAGCTAACAAAAAGTAAAAGCATAACACTTTTAATGGGAAAAAAATAAGAGGAAATTCCCAACAGCCTAAATATTTCATGAAATACACAATACCTTTAAATGCTAGGTTCCATGAATTCATAAAGCTTCATTCCTTTATGGTAATTAAGCTACCCAATTTTAAGAACAGATACAGCCAAATGAGAAACTTTCAAGGTATGTACATGTATTGCTCACTATCTGAACAGAAGAACCTAGCAAATTCACATATCAAGGGACATTTGTGATTTTGCTAAGTCATCTTTATTTCTTTCAAAGTATCCTATTTAAAAGGTCTTTTTTAAGGAAAAAAAACTACCAACAATATGATTATTTGATCAATTCTTATCTTCCTTATTAGATTGTAACTTCTACAAGGACAAAAACTTATCTTTCTTTGACCATCATTTTATTTTTATTTTTTTTTTTAGAGATCTATTTATTTATTCATTCAGAGAGAGAGAGAGGCAGAGAGAGAAGCGGGCTCCATGCAGGGAGCCCGACGTGGGACTCGATCCCGGGTCTCCAGGATCATGCCCGGGGCTGCCCTGACCATCATTTTAATCCTAGATATACCAAACAGCAAACTCCACCACAGAGCAATAAATACCTAATGATTATAATAGTTAATGTTTACTAAATAATTAATAAAAAATAGTGACTGCTAGCATTTATATTTGGATATCTAACAGGACATGCAAAACTGAATTCCAAATCTTTACCTCTGAATTTATTCCTTTACATAAGTCTTCCTCATTTTAGTAAATGGCATCTTCATTCTTAGTTAGTTGCTCTGGCTAAAAATCTTTGGCTCCTCTTTTTCTCTCACACAGCTCATCAAACTCAGCAGCAAATCATTTCAGTCCTACCTTCAAATAGTTTCAGAATCCAATCGTCTCTAACTACCTCCTCAGATAACCCTGGGGTCTACATCTTTTATTTCCATTACCTACAATAATCTAAACTGGCTTCCCTGCTATGACTCTTGCCTCCCCACGTGTGGTGATCCTTCAAAAACATAAACCATTTCCTGCCACTCCTGTTATAAACCCCAATAGTTTCATCTCTGCACAAGTTATTCTCTCGCCTGGAATCAGCCCTCACTTCCTTCAGATCCCTGCTCAGATGTTATCTTCTAAGTGAGGCCTACTATGATCAAGCTATTGCTTGATTTACATAGACTCTGCTGCCCACACATTCCCTATTCCATTCTTTCTTCCTTGCTTTTGCTTCACTGTACTTATTACCATCTTACACCTTATTTTTTACTTTTATTTTATTATCTCTTGCACTAGAAATCAAGCCCAATGAAGGAAAAGATTTTTGTGCTTTGTTCACTGCTTAATCCATAGTGCCTAGTAAAGTGCTTGGTACACAACCACCTTTGAATAAATATTTGCTAAAACAATGAATTTACTTGTGGGTGCTTACTATATACCAGGCACAGTGTGTTTTCATAAATGCATTATTTAATCTTCATCACAATCCTAATGAAGTGTTATTTCCCCATGTTACAAATAAGAAATTTGAGGCACAGAGAAATGAACTTGCTGAGGGTCACAGAGCGAGTAGAAATGAAGATGTAAAGGTACAGTAGTCTGGGGCACCTGGGTGGTGCAGCTGGTTTTGTCTGACTCTTGGTTTTAGCTCAGGTCGTGATCTCAGCGTCATGAGATTGAGTCCTATGTCAGGTTCTGTGCTCAGTACAGAGTGCTAAAGATTCTCCCTTTCCCTCTTCCTCTGCCCCTCCCAGTGCCCACCTTCTCTCTCTTTCTCTCTCTCTCTCTCCCTGTCCCTCAAATAGATACAAATTTTAAAAACAAAGGTACAGTAGTCTGCATCCAGAACCCATGCTAGTACTCACTTATCTAGGTTATTTCTACACATGTGTAGCCACAATTAGGATGCTTTCCCCAGAACAGAGTCAGATTACATTGGTCAGCAGTGTCACCCATTCAGTTACTGCTCCTTTTTACTCAGAAGTATGCCATTATTTGTACAAATTAAATGGTCATCCTGCTGAGGGTTAGATGAAAGAAGACGCAATTGAGCTCCTGACGAAAATCTACAGATATCTAAGTGATCTAGCCTACAACCACCTTCCCAATTTAAATCTTGTCATTTTTTTCCCCTTGTTCATACTTCAACCATACTTACCACCTTCTTTCAATTCCTCTAATATACCTTTTCTCGGTATCTTTACAGGTACAGGGAAGGTTAACAGAAAATAAATCACAGTCCCTGACTTCACCTTTCCCTCAAAGAGACTAGCTCTGTCATTCAGCCAAAATATAAACTTCTCAAGGGAGTGATCACTCTATCCAAAGTAGGAACTCGTTCTCTACCTCAGAACTCCATTTGCTTTTCTCCTAGCAAATACCATAACTTGTGATTTTTTTAATGTTGTTTCCTTGGCTTTATTGTGTATCTCTCACATTAGAATGTAAGCTCAATAAAGGTAGGGATTACCCATGCCTATTTTATTCTCCAGTACATCATCAGTGTCAAATACAATGCCAACACTGGCAATTAAAATAGACACTCACTAAATATTTGATGAACAAATTAATGTCTGTGAAAAAAAAACTTTTTTATTGATCACTCGCCAAACTATTAATTTCCAGTTTTAAGAAAAATCCAACTGCTAATATTTCTACTTATCTCTCATCAAGTACTGTTCACATATAAAATCAGTACTTATGCTGATGAAAATAAGGTAAACCAAAGGAATGCTCATGTTCTCTCCGAGAAGATATGTAAGAACTATCATACTTTACAGATCAGACACTATATAACAAAATTTTAGAAAATCACACAAGTGCTGTATGTACCTTTTTACCAAAGAGAGACTTTTTCTCCTAACAAATCCCAGGTTAAGAATTTTATTTGTTGAATCACTCACAAAAAAGACAGAAAAAGTCTTAGCATGAAACAATAAAGACATGTACTCCAAATCATCCATTTTTGGCTATGAGACAGTAATGGACACCAGCTAGCCCTCACATTGTAAGTAATAATCAAAATGGTAAAATATATGAAGAGTTTTCAGGCTTGGTAATTTGGGCAGCACAAGACTATAATCCCTGAGAGAAGAAAAATTCCCCAAGTCAACCTCATAATTGCCCAGACACTCTGCTTGAAGGCATTATCCCAACCAGCATACAAGTGATCATCTAAGCTAAGTAAGGTGGTCCTGCTGAATCAAGGAGGCAGGGATCAGAATTCAAGACAGATGAGGCAGCTGGACTATGCTGGGCAAGAAAGAGGAAATATAAGTAGCTATGTAAAAGGTCTCTAAAAGTATCATGTGAGTCTTCGGCCAAGGGCTGAACTATCCAAAGAGAAAGTACCCAAAGTTTACTACGGAGTAACTGCTCTGGGGTTGGTAACAAAACAGAGACACTGGAGGTTAAACAGCATTAGAAAAACAATCAATTTCCAGCCAAACAAGAATGGAGAAACCTTGCTATTTCCTGGGCATTCAAATGAGACATCTTAGGAGAAAGAACAGAAAGAACCATGGCTAAAAGCATGGTACTTGAGCAATACCTAACAAAACCTAACAAATCCCTTAAATATCAAAAGGGGAACAGAGTTTGGAGGATCAGTTCTACCAGTTAAAAGGACCTGGGAAACAACTGGTCTTTTTGCACGAAGTATAAAATTCAGTGTGCACAAGTTAAGGATGATCATCAGGTGATTGGACAGATTATTAGAATGAAAATCAACATGTCAATAAAAAGTAACAAACTAACAAAAAATCTCTATCATAGATCTCCAAGGACAAGTATGTATTCTAAAAATTATTTATTAGTCACAAAAGGAAAGTGTGGCTCATCATCAAAGAAAAAGAGCAGTCAATAGAAAACCACCCCAAAACATTGGACGTATAGCTAACAAATACTTCAAATATCTCTTGTAAATATGTTCAAAGAACTAAAGGAAAATATGTTAAAGAAAATAAGGAAAAAGTAGTCACAATGAGTGAACAGAGGAGAATATCAACAGAGAAATACAAACTATAAAAAAGAAACTGGATTTCCATAACTGAAAAATAACAAAAATGAAAAATTCATTAGAAACTAGGCTTAATTAAGTAATGGAGACAGGGACACCTAGGTGGCTTAGCAGATGAGCGTCTGCCTTTGGCTCAGGGCATGATCCCGGGTCTGGGGATCAAGTCCTGCATCAGGCTCCCTGTGAGGAGCCTGCTTCTCCCTCTGCCTATGTTTCTGCCTCTCTCTCTCTGTGTCTCTCATGAATAAATAAATAAATAAATAAAATCTTTAAAAATAAAGGATGGATACAGAAGAGAAGTCTGTAAACCTGAAGACAAATCAAATCTGAAGAATAAGGAGAAAAATGACAAAATGGAAAAAACAAACAAAAAAAAAAAAAAAAACAGAGACTCAAGGGCCTGAAAAACAATTTTAAAAGTATAAAACATGAGTAAATATAAAGAGACTAAACACTCCAACTCATAGGCAGAAATTATCAGAATTTATCAAAAAAGCAAAACTTTATCTCATATATTTTATATATGAAGACCAAACAGACTAAAAATCAAAAGACAAAAAAAAGATTTACCACACAAACAGCAAGGATAAGAAAACTGACAACGCAATATTAGTTAACAGATAAAATAGACTTCAAAGCAAAGAAAAAAGGGGGATAAACTCAGATAAAAGGAGCATAATTTTCACTAGTAAGGCATAAAAATTCTAAAGATGTATGCATCTAATAAATGAGCTTTAAAATTCGTGAATCAAAAAGTGACAGAACTAAAGATAGAAACAGACAAATCCATAATTTCAGATGGAAATTTTAACATTCTCTCTCAGTATGTGATATAATAA